ATATCGAAAAATACTGGGGTAGTAGACCGTTGGGTCAAAAGCCACACGGGCACAGCAACCACAAGGACAGGGATAGCTTCAAGTCCAGCAAACAAATCTGCAGTTTAGCTGGTGAACAAACCAGATGTTTCGCTTTGTTTATGGACTTGTGAGGTTTTTAGAAAGCTGGTGACATACCTATCTCATAATATTTCACAAGATTCGCAAAAAGACTTCAGGAGGGATCATGTTGTTTTCTTCCATGTACATCATGTACATGGATGATGATGTCATTGGAAGTTTGACCAAACTTATGACCTAGATGGATGTCTATTACCCCGATCTTGAGCAACACCGATCTGACTTCTCTAGCTCCACGGGCATTGACAACTTTCGTTTGGAATCCACGGGCTGAACACCGAAGTTCTGGAACGTTGCGGGAGTCGTGTTGCTAGTTGCATCCCAACAATTCTTGGGTGCTCCCAGCGCCCCAGGATCCCCCAGGTACCACTGAAATGTCGTAAATACATGGCCAAAATGAACCATTTCCCCTTGTGGATACCATTGACCTATACCCGTGACGATGGTCCCTGGCCAGCCCCATCCCACCTTGAGTTTCTCCTCGGGGGCCTCTGTTGGGATCTGTAAAACATCGTGGGCGACCATATGGCGCAAGGGGCGAATGGATTTCTTGATAGGGAATATGACTAGAAAAACTCCCCTGGATTTGAAGTGTACGAGATGTTCAGATCTAAATGTTGATTTAGGTAATGTGGTCAAATTACATGGAATAGTTATGGGTCATCCATCCCATGACATGGGAATGGGAGGATGACCATCCTCCAATATGGGCAATCTAGCCAAATTTTGACGATGGCACATGTGGTATACATATGGTATACCATTGAAGCACTAACAAACAAAGTGTATGGCTTAACACAATCCAGATTTTAAGCTGGGGAGTCTGTCCGCTGAAGTTCTTCCACATGTGCTAGCAAGAATTGCCCTGACATTACCCCGATGTGTGCAACAAGAAATGCAAGAAATGCCATAAGTGAAAAGTGTTGAGGGAGGGATCACGTGCGCCCCAGCATTGTTTTTACGGCATGACTAGCTACAGCTAAGTTGCCAGGTTGGGGGTTGATACCTGATAGTCAAGCTATGAATCGCAGTTCCCTCAGCTCAGTAGTTTGTTGGTCAAACTGTGCGGTCTTTTTCTCTGCAAGTGCCAAACATATGTATGTATGTGTGTATGTGTGTATGTGTGTATGTATGTATGTATGTATGTATGTATGTATGTATGTATGTATGTATGTATGTATGTATGTATGTATGTATGTATGTATGTATGTATGTATGTATGTATGTATGTATGTATGTATGTATGTATGTATGTATGTATGTATGTATGTATGTATGTATGTATGTATGTATGTATGTATGTATGTATGTATGTATGTATGTATGTATGTATGTATGTATGTATGTATGTATGTATGTATGTATGTATGTATGTATGTATGTATGTATGTATGTATGTATGTATGTATGTATGTATGTATGTATGTATGTGGGTATGTGGATGTTTTCCGGCCGCAGAGTGGTCTCGTGCTGGGTGCATATATATATATATATATGTATATTCTATGTATGTATATTCTATGTATGTATTTCTATGTATGTATATTCTATGTATGTATATTCTATGTATATATGTATGTTCTGTGTGTGTTCTGTGTGTGTGTTCTGTGTGTGTATATTCTGTGTGTGTGTGTTCTGTGTGTGTGTATTCTATGTGTATATTGTGTTCCATGTGTATATATATATATTCTATGTATATATCTATAATATATATATATATATTCTATGTATATATCTATAATATATATATATATATATTCTATGTATATATATATATATGTGTATTTTTTATATATACATGTTTGTGTGTGTGTTATTATATTGTACTACATTATGTTTTATTGGGTCATATTGAATTATAGTGTACTCTATTGTAGTATATCATATTATGTTGTATTACAGTAGATTATATTGAATTATATTGTATTGTACTATATCATATTAGATCATATTACAGTATGTTCTATCATATCATATTATATACATTATGCATTATACATTATACATTATACATTATACATACAGTAATACATAATACATAATACATAATACACCTATTTGGGTATGGCTCCAAACTCGGATGCCAATTGACCCACAACCAGTTTCTTTCCCATCGCCATAGGTCGCCACTCTCGGTCCCCGGGCCTTGAAATCATTGCCTCAGGGAAACCCGACAGATCCCGAGTGATCGGGGAGTAGCCTATCAGTTCATAGGGGTAGCCTCCGGTTGATAGTTGGTTCATAATGTCATAGTGGTTACCCTCTGGTAAACAGCCACATAACTATGGAAAATCACCATTTTTAATGGGTAAATCCACTATTAATTTCTATGGCCATTTTCAATAGCTTTTTGTATGTTTACCAGAGGGTAATGATGTTGAACCCTCAATCAGCTTCATGACTAGCTGCGAAAACCAGCGACTCGACCAAACATGGGAGATGTATGGGATACACATGATAAACTGCAAATGCATGTGAAAAGATATTTCTGTGTCCTGTTGCTACTTAGGTCCTTCCGGTCCACTTATGATTTAACTTCGATCCATTTACACTTCTGTTGCTTTTTCTATTTGTTCCATTTGTTCGTCATCAACATCTGTTCCATATTTTCCTTAGTAAAGTCATTTACACTTCCACTATTTGTCCATTTGTTCCTTGGTTTCCTGAACTATGCGAAGCCATCGACTCGATCAGCTACCCCGAATGGATCTGAATGTGCGTCCAATGATGCCATGGATCTCTGTCACGAGCATGGACGGAGTGCTGTACATCTATACATATATATACTGTACGTATATATAAATAGTGTATATACATATATATATAATAGATATAGACATATACAAGGACAGTAGTAGTACTTGCGTAAAGCAGTTTGCCAAGCTCACTATTGAATGTCATCATGACCATCTCAGGCCGGTAATTGCTCTACATACACATAGATAGATAGATGGATGGATGGATGGATGGATGGATGGATGGATAGATGGTTAGATGGATAGATGAATAGATGGATGGATGGATGGATGGATGGATGGATAGATAGATAGATAGATATAGGTAGCTAAGTCTTGATCACCCGGGCAAGACATGTTTCACCCCACCAGGGCCAACCATGGACCCACCTTCCACTGCCGGGTGTGGTGCATTTCCCCTGAGGTCTCGCACTATCCAGCATGCTTTCCTGGTCAGCTTGGAGAGCTGGGATGGCTGAGTTGCCATAATATGAAAGTCTAATGGGATCAGCATCTTTGGGGAAGAATCAAATACTGGTTGGTGGTTTCAATCCCTTTGAAAATATTAGTCAGTTGGGATGATTATTCCTGATATATGGAAAAATAAAAATGTTCCAAACCACCAGCCAGAATATCTTTGAAAGTGCCAGCCACTTCAAGATTGGGCTCCCTTTTTTTCGGGCCTCGAAATGGGCGAGCCATGCCGTGCTCCATCGTTTCGTAAGAAACCAGTGGTCTATGAATTCTCGGATCCATAGATCAATCTCAAATGAATGAATAAATGCATACCCTCTGGTTATGTTAAATAGCCATGGTATAGATGGCCCATTTATAGATGGTTTACCTATCAAAAATGGGTGGATTTTCCATGGCAAACTGTTAGTCATAACCAGAGGGTAAATTATATGGAGATATGTTTGATCCATACATACTGTGGATGGAAGAAATCCTGCACCAGTTGGTAAATGGGTTTTCCCATTATAATCCCATTATAATCCCATTATTTACAGTGTTTCATAGGTACCTAATAGTTCCCAACTGGTGCAGGATTTCTTCCATCCATACATATGTACAAAAAAAAATGGCCCCAGTGTCCCAAGAACAAATCCACGGACTCAGCCGTGTGCCCGCCTGTTCCGGCGTGTCGCGGGACAGGAGGCCGTTGTCTTGCATCAGGTCCATAACCCGTCCCAACAAACCTGTTGGGTGCTCGGTGCTGGGCGATCAACACAAAAGGGGGAAGATCGAAATATCATTAAAGGATGTTAAAGGTATAACTATAAGGATTAGTAATATGTATAAACATAAATAGTATAAATCTATATAAATCTATCATTATAGGATTGTCAGGTAGAAAAAGGCATCAAAAATTTGAAAAAGCTGAGAAGTCACCATTGAAAATGGTGAGATCGACGGCCGAAGTTCTGTGATAAAGCAAGGAGTTGTCACTTGACCATCAAAAATGATCAAACAATTGGGGCTTTGAATGGAATTTGAATGGAATTACCCACAGACCTTTGGAATTTGAATGGGATGACCGAGTACCCAATCCATCGGCGTCTCGCCTTCTTCCTCGTCATCCTTCATACGGGTGGTGTTGAGATCCTGGAGGGAAGGCATCATCGATGCCACTATCCAAGGCCTTTCAACTTGTTGCTGCTGTTGTGGGCCATGCTTGTTTTGAGCTAAACTTAAGATACCAGGAAACCAGAAATTGAAGTGGCGCTGAAATGGTAAAATGGAGCAGGTTTGGTCGGGATTTTTCATGGTGGAAGCTACTCAGAACTGTGTACCCAGCGAAATGTCGGGTTTTGTCTGGACCGACACATCGAATTTGTGGACGCTCGGGCGCTTCCGAAATCGCAAACCCTCTTTTCGCAACCAACCACCAAGTTAAAAATTAAAACATGTCGCAAAATGTGTTCAGATGGTCTTTCTAAAGAAAACGCGACTTTTATACACATTTCTGGTATCACATGTATCACTTTTTGTAGAGGCTTCGTCGGCAGGTGCCCTATCCCCAGGTGCCCGGACCATGTAGGGTCGCAAGACCGTGGTCAGGTCCGGCTGCTGCCCATTGAAGCGAGAACGCCACCTCGAGAGCTGGGTGAATCTTTGCTGCGAGCTCGATGATTTACCAAAACATGATCTGGTGGTTGAGCCTACCCCTCTGAAAAATATGAAAGTCAATGGGGTTGGGATTATCCCATATATGAAATGGAAAATAAAAAATGTTCCAAACCACCAACCAGTGATTGTCCATAGCTAGATGAATTTACCAAAGGGTGACCAATTTGTTGTTCTACGATTTTTTCTTCTGATCAAGTTCCTTGAGAATCTGGTGACGCTAATGATTGACCCCCGCACAGGTGACTGATTTAATCCTATAAAATGACCAGATTGGTGCCCCACGCACATCTGGTTTGGCGGTTTCAACCCGTTTGAAAAATATTAGTCAGTTGGGATGATTGTTCCCAATATGATGGGAGAAATCAAAAAATGTTCCAAACCACCAACCAGACATGGTCGCTAGATCCATTTGGGTTTTTTCTGAAAGAAACGGGGGAACCTGTACTACCTCACTATCGACACAGTGAATTTTCATGTGGATGGTGGTCTCAAATCTCATAAAATCCCAGTTTCAGTTCCAGTTCCTCCCCCCATTAGATCAGCCGTGCTGAAAGGCCCTACTTGAAAGGCGACGAACAATCATCGTCTCACGACCCATGTTTATTCAAAGTTGAAAAGACTTAGTGGAATGCATATTTAGATAAAGAAAAAATCCATGGACGCAGGAGAGTGATCTAGAAACTGTATATGTTCCACAGTATATTTGTTGGTTTAATGAAGGATACTGTATATGACTCAAATGGGCCACAACTCTGGTAACTGAAATACCCCAATGAACATCCCATGCCCCGAATGTTACGTCAGTCCGTCAACCCCATTTCCTGGAGTTGCAACAAGCTTATGACTCCCAGTGAGACTCATGCACCTACGGACCAAGAACAAGGGCGCAACAACCCCAATGGTCAGCATTTTCTCCATCATTTTCCCCATTTGATGGCCAGCAATTCAGGGGAAAAATCTACCGTTTTCGGACTACACACATATCATTCGGCGAAAAGACCCCAATGAAAACCATCCGCTCATACCTCGAGGCCAAACCGGGTCTCCCGGCAGCAAGTACAACTGACTTCTGGGATTTGGCCGCTTCGGTATGCAGCCGCACTTGTCCTGCCGAATGCCCAATCTTTGTGGTCGATATCTTCCCCCGATGGGGATTTCTCCCGCACTATATACCCTCTGGTTATTTAACATAGCCATGGAAAATCACCATTTTTAATAGGTAAACCATCTATAGGCCATTTTCCATGGCTATGTTAAATAACCAGAGGGTAATTGGTATAATCACTTCCCACTCTAAAAAGAAAAAACGCCAATCAGGTGACCCAAAATGAATTTCCACCAGGGTTTCATTTTGGGGGGTCAAAGAGTTTGAGCGGTTTGAACATGTCAGCAAGAATTTATGGGTTACCCAACTTTGACTGGGTATCTCTTCTAATCTGTTCACCATCTCCATCTTCACAACGCACCTCAAAGATGATCACAGCTCCAGATTGGTTTCGACCCAACTCTATATATGTTCACCATTTAGGACCACTCAACCTATATGGGATTTCGGGGGTCCAAAGTGTGCTGCTCCAGGCTCCAACGGCCCCCAAGAACCGGCCCCAGCGATTCTGTCCCACTCCACGGTTCCACACTTCTCGTCGCAAACCATGCAGCGAGTGGTGCATGCACCTAGGGAAAACTGAAAAACGGGATCACTTGTATATCTTTTACAACTGACTCACTGTATATTATATGATAGTTGTATTACATTGTACCCTCTGGTAAACTAACATAACTATGGAAAATCACCATGTTTAATGGAAAAATCCACTATAAATGGCCATGTTCAATCGCTTTTTGTATGTTTACCAGAGGGTCATATTCTGTATCTTTCAACAATTCGGACCACGGACAAAGGGCACGTTCTGAACAGGGAGACTTGCAGCTCTTGCCAAGCCCGGCAGTGGAGCTGGGGCTTCATGGTGAGTCACTAGACAGATTGATGGATGGATTTTTGGATGAGTGGATATATGGTGTATATATAATTACATACTATATGCAATATATATATATATATGTATATATATGCGCAGACTACTCGGCCATTGGAAATATCTATCTGTTCGTATTAAATGTCCATGTCTGGGTCGATTTTATGCATGGAGGTAGGGTACCCCCCAAAATTTGATGGTCTTTGAGACCTGATTTTCCCCACTGAAATTGCCATGACTTGGGCGTCCTGACCATTTTCAAACAAAGCTATATCTGCTTGACGCTTCAGTGACACAATCATGATGGCAACTAGTTGGCAAGCCATTCATTCGTGCTGCCACCATTGATGACGAGAGTGCTTTCAGTGGGGTACCTTTTAATATTTTAACTGGCCGGACACTCCCAACTTTAAAAAAGGGTGATGTTCCATTGCCAGGTCAAATGATTGGTGCTGCAAGTTTTCGCAACTCAAAATGCTGATGAATCAAGAGATTTTGAGAAACAATCCTATTTCAGACAAATCCAAATGTGCTGGGATGCGATGCCCAGGTTCGACAAGGAAACCCCAGGCATCAGATTCTCAGAAATCATCCGTTTTGGCATTGACGAATATGATGAATCCCCCTCCAATTTTTTCATTCATCATTTATATGTTTCCACCATAAAATATTAGTGGCTACTGGGATGGTTTATGGTGGGTACCAGTTTATGAAAATTCATCATACTCATCTATTTGAGTTTAAGTGGTTTTCCACCATAAACCTTCCCAGTACCCACACATGACGTGGGATCGTTCGTGTTCAATCATCCCAGTCTCTTTGGGACCAGCCAGGCCTGGCCCATCCTGGCCCCGTTGGGTCGCCACACAACACTCGTCGATGCACGGACAAAGAACCTCCAGTCGAGCAAGGTATGAAACAAGAGGTTCCGGAGGTCAAAAATTGAAGACAACTCCTAGGTCGGTGCAAATATATATGTGTGTATATATATATATACACATAACATGTGTATGTATATGTGTATATATATATATATAGATACCCTGACCCACAGGGATAGCAATACTCTATGGGTTCGGGTATGTAGCGTTGCAGACCCTGAAGTAAATACAAAGCCAGCGTCTTTTCAGGTTTACGGTGAACGTCCTGAGGACCTGCGTTTAAGGTAACATCTCCAATGGTTGATCAGTGACTGCATGGAGGTTGAGACAAATCAACCTATCAAGTCATGCAAAGTGCAGTTGAGAGAAAGCTTTCTTACAATTACCCTTTGGTAATCCAACAGTTTGAGCCAAAAACCAGCATTTTGACCGGTAAATCATCTAGAAATGCTGGATTTCCTTAGCAAACTGTGAGATTACCAGCAGGTATACTGGTTGGTTTGAGAACAGGAATCCTCTTTCTGGGTGAGTTCATAATCTACCGGGGTTTTGGTCATTGCTTACATACTCAGGGAAAGGCGTGATTTTGCTGATACCCTCGGATAATCAAACATGGCAACGGAAAATCCCCCAATGTATAGTTGACGTTCCCATGAAACCCTCCAGTTATAGTTGGACCCTCTACTTTGTTCAAAATGCCCATGAAAGACCATCAGAAACCATGCTTCCATCTCCAATTCTTGAAAATGGTAAGAGCTACAACCTGATACAGTGATAACCGGCGATAACCGGCCCTAGCAGTCTAGCAGTTGCTGCAGTTGGGGCTGTCTAATTTCCCCATGAAACCACAGTGAAAACTCCACTAATTGATGTGATTGTTACCCATGAACAGAACAGGTCGCCGAAGAGACACATAAGGTGGTGTTCGATAGGATTTATAGTAGATATCTATGCTTAATGGGGCTTATGAAGAAAACAAACTTACAACTACAAAGGGTACCATCTTGAACCTTACTTTGAATTCGTCATTGCAGTTCGTGGTACCCATAGTTCTGACCCAGTTGAAAAAAATGGATGAACACGCTTGGGACACCTGTAATGTGGTAAACCCTACAATAAACCATTCTCTATATCACCATAAATGGGTGGTAACTATCATCCCCAAGTGATAGATTCGTGGGCTTATCATATCATATAACCAGAATTAGCAAGGGTTTTGTCCAACTATTCTTGCTGATACTTCCTGGTATAGTTAATATCAGAAAATGATAATAACAAGTATAATAGTAAGTATACCAAAATTTACTTATTGTATTTCTGATATTTGGTATAAGCCCCCAGCTCTTGTTTCTTCTCTATTACAAAGGCACAGTCAGTCAGACTTCTGTGCAATTTCGTGATTGCCCACTTGGGTGCATCGCAGAAGTCGTACTCGGGTAGTAACCAATTTGTATGGTTTATAAACCAGCCACTTATGTCAAATTATGTACATATATATAATGTGTGCCACTATATCCAGGTAAGAAGAGTCATGTATGGAATATCCTCACTTTAATGTCAAGCCCGGAAAGTCCAGCGGGTTATTCCTTCGGAGTTGAACATTATATTACATGATTATATTATATTATATTATATTATATTAGATTATATTATATTATATTATATTATGTATATATATATTATCCATTATAGTATAAACTGTATATATAAGATCCTGCAAACACTTCTGCGCATCGTTTTTGGAGGGGTTGCTACAAAAATCCTTGATCTCGCGGTCAAAGCCACCGGTGGATGCACTGGGTTTGTCCACAGAGGCGGGTCCACCTTCACCAGAGGGTAACCAAAGGTGGTGGATGTCAGCTAACCCTTGGGGTAACCATAGGATAACCAAGTTGGTTATGGATGTTAGTAGGGAACTATGAGTTGGTGAGTGTTTTTTTGGGGCCAAATTGGATCATTCCATGTCATTCTATGTCATTCTTCATGTCGCGGGAAGGGGGTCAAACTATTGGTCCAAAATGATCCAATGGATGGCAGATGACCCCCAAGGACTTGACGATGTCCGAAGGAAAATTGCGGATAGCACCCGGATAGCGATCATCCCTTTTTGGGGGATCAAAATGATGAAACTGGTGGTTTTTAGCAGAAAAATCTGGCAGAAAATCTGGCAGAAATTTTCTAAGCCATCATTCCCATCCTGGCCCATCAAATTTCAGGAAGTGGCTTTGAAAAAATAGGGGGTAACCCGGGTAACCCCTAAATCCTCTTGGTTCATTCGATCATTTTCCGCCTGGGATTCGGAAGAGAAGCTCAGCATGGCGGAATAGCAGAGGAAGGACATGGTGTTGGGAAGGGAACTGGCCTCGATGCTTTCGGTGGAAATTGGGGAGGTTAGATGAAAACTAGAACATCTACAAATAGATGTTTTAAATATATAAGCATATATTAGTATATTCAAAAGATTAAGAAGATATATTGGTATAAATGTGATATATTATATAATTATTCTGTGTATTAATGTGTATATATATATGATACATCTAGCTGAGAAACTCTGAGGGCAGTTTCTGCCGGGTTTTTCATGTCCTGGATCTTGGCAGCCCCGAGGAACATGAGGAACCCTGGAGGGGCGTGTAATAGCTTGCTATTTAAGTAGCAAATCGAAAACATGCTAGACATGAAGCGAGGATCCTTGCAGGACAGCACTGTCTCAATGCCACCGAATTCTCTTTGTCTGGAAATCTAGACCCTTTGTGAAGAATCTTGAGTTATCTAAGTTGGCAATGAAAAATCCCATCATTTACATCAAACATATGTCTACATTCATTTGGGTATGGGTCAAAATTAGGTACCCCAATAATTGGATGGTTAATACTAAACTAGACTGACATCTGTGGTCCCCTAGGTCTTCCATTTTGACCCACATCCATTTACATAGATGATGTTCCTGTATTGCTCCGTGTCCGCTGTTCCCCGGCCAGTATTGCAGCCCTGAAGTCACCACCCCTCCGGCCCTCGTCAACTTAGCCCGCAGACGTCAGTTGTGCACTTCGTCCTGGGTGGTTTAGAAGATACTTCACCATGGACAAAAGAAGAAGTGTCCTGTAAATGTTCATCCTTAAATGGCTTTTTGCATTGCTGTTTACACAGAAAAATAGGGAGTTCCCGCAAATATTCATCCAATTCTGGCACAAAAATTATGAAAAGCGCCTGGCTATGGATCAATAAACATCTGGTCAGTGTTTTCAACCAAAACTCAAAGAAAAGCCCTCTTTGCATCCATCATATCATCCGCTTGACCCGGAAGCACATCATTTTGGCCACTTTTGGATGTTCCTGTCAAGGCTAAATCACCCCTCTGGGCTGCTGTTTCGCACCTATCGGACCTATCATTGGAGACAAGCCATCTGTGAAGCACTAAGAGCCGGACAGCCATCCGCACCAACACGCGCCCCAGCACATACACGTCTTGCAGTCGAATTTCTGGCGGCTGGGAGCTTCTAGGTACTGTGGCGAGGGGCTGGGAGCTTCTACCAAGAAACAGGACTAGGACCTAACCTATGTTGGAAAATCCTGATCCCATGTTCAATGAAGAATGGTCTGCTCGAAAATGGGCTGTGCTCCAGTGCCAGGTTCGACGTTTCGGCATTGAAACTTGTGAAGTGCTCTCCGGATGACACCAGGAAATTGGCCTTGGAGCAAAAAACTAAAGAACAACTACTCACCATTAGCAAGTATGAGAAAACTGGATCCATAGATCCATAAACCGGCTAATTTTGACTAGGGGAGCGTCGCTTAAAAATGGTGCGTGTTGCAATTTAATACGGACACCCTTCGACCAACAAGACCCAGAGGACTGTCAAACCCCCATTGCCGTTGGTATTCGCAATTCTTTTGGTTGAACCCTCACTTTGGCCAGAGAATCTGTTTCTTCTGATTTTTTTGAATATGAGTCAAAATTGAGTTCTCTAGCCAAAAAACATCTGTGACACTCTAATAAGGTTGCTACTAAACCGTTTCGTTTGGCTGGTGAGCATCTTCCTCCATAAAGAGTGCGGAAAAATAAATTATGACCCTCCAGTGCACATACTAAAAGACATGAAGAATTCATCAGGAATGTTGATCATTTCCTGGTTCGAATCATAGATGCTCATGGACTCTAGGATCATGTCCTAAAAAAAAAAACTGATTTTCGGGGATTTCCCCATCATTCCCCATCTCTGGGTGCTTGCCATCAAGCATTACTAACCCCCACGCCTTGTACAAGGGCCTTTGCCAAAGGAAGACCCTGTCGCTGGTGACCACCACGTCGGTCACCGAGTTGAAGGGGCTCCTTGGTGCAGGAAAGTAACCCGGTCAGCCCGGTCAGAAAAGGATGCGGATCTTCTTTTCTGCATCTTTTTGGGTGGTTGAATTTATATGTTGATATAATTTGATACACATATAAACATATATGGAAATTTTTGGTGGGTGAATATATGATCACCCACATATAATTGATATAATTTATTGTTGTTGGGTGATCTTCGCACAATATGGAAAGCTATGGGATGGTGAGATGAAGACACCATCTGAAGCGCCCATGCGGAGATTTAAAAAAAAAACTGCTATGGATGAAGAGTTGCACTTAGAACTGGGGAGTTGCAACTTATAAACAAATGATATATTTCGATCCAGTTTATTTCAGATTATAGTCAGTTATAGTCAGTTATAGTTCATATCCTTCCCAGCTTATAATTACATATAATTACTAGCTTCTGGCGTCTAGCTTCTAAAAAAAGGTAACTGTTATCATCATTAGTTAATGTTGATTATCCATAGGGTTATATTATAATGCCATGGGCTCAAAGATTCGCTTTTGATCCACCCCAACCGAAGGCGTTTCAACAAAAATCACTGGGTCGCCCCTACGCCAACACGCCAGCCTGTGCCATGGAAAGGACCGAGTCCAAAACAGAAATCTCTTGGGATAAGCCGGGTCTTTGGACATCAGAAAAAATGTGAGTTCAAACACTTCTCCAAAATTTGGTGGGTTTGTCATCAGAACAAAGTTGCTGTGTGATTTTATATAGGGGTGCCCTTTGGGAAGAATCTCCAAGAACATGAAACACCCAGGTGTTAGATAAAAATCAAAAAAAATGGAGAGATTTACTAGCCCTGATCAAAATCCATGGCTTGTTCCGTCACTGTCATGTCCTGCCATTGGACATATTGGACGACCCATGGGTCGTGCTGCACCTCTGTACCGGACCAGTGGTACAACATCTTCTCTTCCTTGTCGCAGAGGTAGATGTCTGGGGATCGTGTTACCTGTCGGAGTTCTCCCCAGGTGTGCAGGATGGGCCTCCAGGTTATGGCCATCGGAGTTTTGGGGTTCCAAATTTGACACGGATCCCTTTTTTGATATATATATATACACACATATATGTATATATATATATACACATACATAAATATGTATATATATGTATATATATACATATATATATATATGTGTGTGTGTGTGTTCCACCATCCGGAGCGCGGTGACACGGCAGGGCTTACAACTTTGAAGAGACAATTTTGTGCGCCGAGAGGGTATATCCTTCAATAGGCAGAATACGAGGAACAAAACCAACGGATTTTTGGGGGGTCTATTTTCAGACAAAGCCAAGTGGGCTCTCATCTCCAGAACCCTTTCTTTGGTTCCCGTGTTCCACTTTGGTCGTTCAGAAAAGAGCGGCCAATTTCGAGACGAAGACAATGTGATCTAAACCATATGAAACCTATGTAACTGCTAAACCCAAGAATATGCCATACTCAATGTTTATTACTTGGGGTGCTGTGTTTCTTCGCATAAAAAAAAAAACTGGGGCTTGCACATGACTTAAAACGAAAACTGAAATCATTAAAGAGCCATTGAAGATACTGTACCCCTACCCTCCCATTATACTGACTGGCTAATAGGTATCTCAGGTATCCAGGCAATAAACCCCACTAAAACTACATTAAAAAAAAAAAACACAGTCCCTCCTGAGTTTCCACACCACATCCATCTCTTGCAGTCTGATGTCCCATACACCCGGTTGCTTAAGAAAGAGACCTGGACGTGGTGAAACAAGTGACCTGTTTTTGTTGGGAAAATCTTCACCGGAACGCCTGGTTGTCAGCCCCAACTTCATTGGGGCTTCTGCTTTCGATTGCTCCTACGAAAATATGTGTATGTGTGTCTATCTATATATATAATATATATATATATATTATGTATTTACAAGGAAAGTTTGAAATGGCTTAAATATAACATATATGATATGTTCAACACATCATGCAACTGCCATGCCTGCCATGAGTAAATGTGAAAAATGACCTGAGGGCACGAAACTGCTGGCGATGCATTCGTGATGCCGCTGGAAACACCATTGTTGTTCAAAAATTCTTTGGAAACTACCCCACAATAAATATAGAATGGAAGATACCCTCTGGTAAACTAACATAACAATGGAAAATCACCATATTATAGCTGGGAAAACTCACTATTTCTATGGGCCATTTAAGTTCAATAGCTATTTCTGTTGACATAACCCGTTTGCTATCTATCAACATCCCCCCAGTGTTACATGGAATATCCCCAACTCTCAATGTCATCATGTCAGTGTCTGCGCTGGAAAATGTCGAAAGGGACCCCGAGGTTTCCGGGACCAAAATTTCCATCGTCCCAAGCACCCCATCCCATCCAGCCACTTCACGAGGAAAATGGCCGTTGTTTAATAGGTACCCTCTGGTTATGACTAACATAGCCATGGAAAATCCCCTATAAACTGAGGTATTAATAGGAAAATCATCTATGAATGGGCTATTTTCCATGGCTATGTTAAATAACCAGAGGGTAAATCATCGAACTAAATCATGGTAATCATGGGATAAACAAAAATGATGGGATAATCATGGGATGGTTATACAACTGGAATATGAATGGAATATAATGGAATATGATACTGGTTGGTGGTTTCAACCTACCTACCCCTCTGAAAAATGATGGAATGAAAGTCAGTTGGGATGACGACATTCCCAAGTGAATGGAAAAATGGAATTCATGTTCGAAACCACCAACCAGAAATGCGCGATGTTGACCAGAGGGTATCACCAGGTGTTTCCCATCATTTGACTGGTCTTTGATGCCATTGAGCCCCCGAGGTTTTGGAGCTCCGGCCTTTCTGGACCGCATTTTCGCACTCCCGCAACACCCCCTCGCTGCAACCTGCCTTCCGAAGCCCAACAAGTTGGACCGAACAAAAAGGTGGAATGAAACCCTTGGCACATGAGGCAGACTTTGACAGATATCAACTCCAAACAGCTCATCATTTTAATATGTCAATTTTCTTTGGTGTATATGGATGAATATGCTGAGGTGGCCATGTCTGATTGGAACGGTGTTGGTCTCTTCAAAAAATCTGAAAAAAAAAAAAGAAATAGGGTTCGTTTTCTCTAGTCCTGTGTGTACGGGGTTTGTCTGAAAACAGGGTATCAAAAAATCCAACACGTTTCCCATCCAAAATCTACAGTACATCTTTTTTTGGGCAACTCCCAAATCTCTGGAGAAACCAAATGTTCGCATATTTGCTGCCAAACTCCAGTTTTGATGGTTACACCGTTACACCACTCATGTTTGGCCCAAAAAACGCCCCTTTCTGAAAGGTTTTAAACCTACTTGAACAGCCGTACATTGCGGTATCCCCCATTTCTGGGAAAATCCAGGTTGGTCATATCGTTGTGTATCCCAGAATATTCCATTATGCTGCATGCTATCCCCGGGTTCCCATACAACGGTTCATTCTATACGCATGTTGCTTACATTGCCAATCTTGGATATCCTGCCAGAAACGACTAGCTGGCTTGTGTACAACAAAAGATCTGGCAAAGTACTACACAAGAGCGGCGTTCCTGGCCAAGTATTAATTGTGTGTGAATTGGTTGAATAGCTATTTTTGGCTGGTTAAATCCCATCATTAAGGTAAGTATACTGCAGTCCCTATTGATAATATTTGATAATTATATGATCTAAGTATTGATTCTCATCATTCTCATCCCATCATTGATATTCATTGATGGTTACTTGAAAAAATGGAAGGTAACTGGTTCGGTGACCATTGAAACCTATCCATGTCCGGTACAGATATCGCATCTTAGCCCCCCTTAGCGCATTCAACCAGCGAATTCACCCAAAAAAGTGATGTGTAGTGACGTCAAGGTTCATGAAAACTATGTTGGTTAAAAAAAAAACATGAAAACTATAATTTAAGTTCATAATCTCCCATGAAAACATATGAAATTACGAAAACTATAGTTATATATAGTTATATCCTCCATAAACCATGCTTGTTGGAGGCACAGAAAAAACAATCCCATTAATAATCCAGAACAATCCCACTATCCCTATTAAAACCCTATCAATCAACATCAATCAACTATAGTTATCCAGTTCGGGGCCTTCAGCATGCGTTCCTCAGTGATGGTGTCTTTGGAACTCTTGCGCGCCAGCTGGGAGACCACGTGGAAGACGTCCATGGCATTCCCTCGGAGATTCCCATGGAGAATCCCCGACAAAAAACTCGGAAAAACCAGCAGCCAGCTCCCTCCCAAAAAAAAAACGAAAAACCTTGAAATCCCTGAAGTAAAACATGGGGTGTCAAAACCCCCCGAAGCGGGGGAAATCTGTGATGATTTATCAGTCAACAAAAATCACTCCCCAATATCAAATACCCCCCGGCCCCGAAACTCCGCTGGCAACGACAAACAAAGTCATCACTGGGATGGTCCAAAACCTTTTTTTGAGTCCAAAAATGGCGGGATAATCCCAAATAGCACGTGAAAGCCCAATCTAAATTGGAAAATGTATGATAAATGATAAACCTTGGGATTCGGATGTACGACTCGGTGCATAAATCGATGCTGTATTATATACATGTATATACTATGATTCGCGCCACTTAAGAATCTATGAGATTTTTTCTTCGACATCTCCGAAGCGTCCCTGGATTGATAAACTCACCTTGGCTCACCAACTGGTTTTTTTTCGGGGGAGGACCCCCAAATAGTGATGTCATCTGCTATGACAGTACCCGGGGTACCCCCAAAATTTCAGAGCAACAGCCCATTGAACGGATGGATTCGGGGGCGTTTTTTTTGTCTTCGACAAACCTGCCACCCGCCCCAGCCATCAAATACCGTAAAACGAAAGCCAGTTGGAATGGATTGGATCTACCCTCTGGTAATTTAACGTAGCTATTGAAAATGGCCATAGAAATAGTGAGTTTTCCCATTAAAAATGGTGATTTTCCATAGTTATGTTAGTTTACCAGAGGGTATACATCTACCTTTGTATCTTTATACCTACTTTTTTGTGGTTGAGAATCAGATAACCTATGTTTTTTTGATGAATATATAAATAGATATGTTTTTTAAAAAAAACCTATGTTTTTTTTATAACCCCTATTTTAACCACATTTGATGTATAACTAAATATGAATATTGACAAATGATAAGACACCAATGACATCATGAAGTCGTTCAACCAATCAGGATGGAACAACCGATTGCCCTGGAAGTGGCTCAATGCATCTCAAGATGCTGTTGTTGGAACATATAGATCAGTTGATCCAAATTTATGGGCAGCACAAATCGAAGTATAACATAACATAACATAACATGATAATCGCCTATGATTCCCACGATGCTACAACACTATCCAACTTGAAATGGGAAACCTATGGAAACCTATCCAACTTGCCTTCATACATAATATCCCGCAATGATTTGAATCACCGGGGTTCCATTGGTTTTTATCACCTAATTCGGTGCCTTGACCCAGCGTTTGCTGTGCCCATGTGATGATCCTGATCATCCTCACCAGTCACGGAGCCAGCCCGGACGCTCAATTTTTTTGACTGGTTGGGGCCAAACTCTGCGGTTAATGCCGCTTGATACCTTGGATCATTGCGGCGTGTGTGGGCCGTGTTGCACAGGATTGTTTGGATCTTTCTAGGACCAGGGCTAAATATATATGCATGGTACGACCAATTCTTTCATCGATAGGTCTTTTTGGGTTCAAGGATTTCGGCATTGAACCATGCCGCCTCAAGCCATGGACTGCTTGGGGCTAGCGTTGGATTGGGAAAATGATGCTGATGTGAGGGCCCGTTTGAGAGAGAAGGGTCAACTTCTAGAAATTCCAGCCGGTGAGCTCATTTGCAAACCGACACGTCACAACGCCAACATGAATGCAGTTGTCTTGGCTCCTGTGCTGAGACGACTGAATCAGTCAGGTCTTGTTTTGCCTCACATATCAGACCTGAAACTAGAGGTAGGAAGCCTCTTCCAGAAAACAGGTTTGACTACAGCCGGAGACAAACAGGTCTACAAGGTGTCCATGGAGATCAAACAACTGGCCAGCTTCATCAAGAGGCGTTTGAACAGACGTGAGGTCACAAAGGAACAGTGCTTAAAATACAGGTTCAAAAACATATCACTTGTTTTTATCGACGTGTCCCAGGATGACAATCTATGAAATATTTGGGGTTGTTTAACTAATAACATTTAGTAAACAATATGTGTCTTCCTCTTATTCCCCCATGGCAACCCTGGAGGACAAAGAGTTTCACAGGTTGCTTCTGATCCTTGACCCATCGATTCAGGACGGGATATAACCCTGGTCTCCCCCCAAAAAAATCACTTTGTTCAATCTTGTTCATTATTTGACAGGGTCTGATGAAAACCATCGGTATTTTTATTGATATCATATGATTTCAATATAATATGGTTTCAAACATATCTGGAATCTGAGTACCCTGTAGGCAATCATTGATGCGTACTTGGCATCTTGCAAGCGCACTGCTGGTTTGTACTCTGATGATGATGAGGATGCCAATGCTATGGACTCGGATCAAACCGCCGGAGATGAGTTTGTAGAGTTTCAGCGTTGGTTGGATGCACAGGCTACTGGTACGCCAACTACATCTACCCCACAAAAGGTTGCAGCTGTTGAGAAGAAGCCTGCATTCACCCCGGTTTTTGATGACCATGGCAAATGCATAGATTGTGGCTACCCAGAATGCAGATGCCACCTGGTATATCAATTTAAACATTTTATTGTACACAATGAGTGGTTACAGACCTATATGATATGTATTTAATTTTGGGGTATTATTGGGGTGTTGCTATTACAATGTCAAATTCCTCATACTCCTCTATGTCACCCCACATAGTTCCCACCCGTTCCTCGGCTGAAACTCAGGTGAACTTCTTGCCCAGCGACGCAGGGAACTTCTGAAGGTGATCCAGGAGAAGAAGGCCGAACTCCAGAAGAAGCAAGCCATGATGCTCTTCTTAGTTTGGCGGCTGCCGGATTCAGCAGTGATAGGTCTTGTACAAAATGGGACCCGAAACATCTTGGAAATGATGGGGCTACAAACGCTGACTTTCCATATCCCTACATTCTAGCAAGTCGTTAAAAAGTGCAAAACAATCAAATTGTTTGTGTGGACGTTTTTTTGGTAAATAACATGTCGGAACTTGAGAACTGCTAGCCCATGGGATGCTTAGGAAAGAAGCATCAGCGACTCCGACCCCTGCTCCCACTGCAGAAGCATCAGCGCCTCCCCGAAAAGGTTGGCTTAGGGGTTGGGTAGGGTCTCACCCATAGTGTAATAGTGCTCTACATGCAAAGTGGCCTCATGCTGCTTCATTAATATTGTGCGGCTCCACAGCGTGAAATCACATGACATAACAAAATGAATTAGCGAACACATGAACACACCTTTGATTTGTCAATGCCATGTCTAGCGAGTTAGTCAAAGAAAAACCAGTAGGTTTCAGGTCCTCATGGATGTGTAAGCAGGTATCGTAGTATAAGACTATTGGGTCGGCAGGTGAGAACTTGCAATCGCACGTTTCAGAAAATACTGCAGCCCACATGTTGCTGGATAAGTCTGCCTTGCCAGGCTTTGTTCCTTTGCCAGCAGCTCCTCTTGCTGTAGCTGGAGATCGTGATGAGACGCAGCCTTTGGTTGATCCTGCTGAGATTGCAGCTGCAGCTTCTTCTGCTTTCAACATGGTGATGCCTATGGAGGACACAGATTTGCCATCTGACCCTGATGAGGTCTGAGGGCCTGGATGCGGTTCCATGTTTTTTTGACATACCTCAGTGTTTCCAGTATGGTTCATGTCGTCTGGAAATGTTGTTTATGGTTTTGCTTCAAACAAAATAGTGTGATTTCAAGAGTGATTGGTGAGGATTGCCACCAGCCATCCTGATTGCCCTGTTCAAATGCAATGTTCAATCAAATTTGACGGAAGATTCTTTTTCTAAACATATGTGCTGTCCTCAAATGACTTTTCTGCTTATGTCTGTGCAAATGCATTGAACTGCCAGGCCGACGGTGTGCCCGTGCTGACCCGTCGAGACCAGCTGAAGAAGAAGGAGCTGGCAGCAGAGGAGAGGAAGCAATCCAAGGAAGCGAGAAAAGCAAATGCTAAGGCAAAGGCCAAGTCCAAAGGGAAAGCTTGTGATAAAGGTGAGGAGGACAACGAGGATCCACCAAAGGAGGATCCACCAGCTAGGAGTAGGAAACGAAGGTCATCTGTGGAGAAGCCTAATGGAGATGCTGCGGTGAAGGCTGAACCCAAGAAAAGAGTTCCGAGGGCCAAGGCCAAATCGGAGGCAAAGCCTGTGTCTGAGGCTCCTGAGCCATCTGGAAGTGAGCCTGTGCCCAAACCGAAGGCACGTGGCAGGCCCAAGGCCAAGGCCGCTGCGGAAGCAACAGCTGCTGCGGAGGAGCCGGAGGAGGGAGACAAAGTACAGAATGAGATCGCAGAAAAGAGCATGGAGGCCAAGCAGGCACCAAAGAGAGCACCAAAGAGAGCATCAAAGAAAAAAGCAAAGGCAGCCAAACTTGAGGAGGAAGAGGAGGTCAATACTCCAAAGAAGAAGCTCTTCGAGTCCGACGATGAAGCTCAGGATTCTGAGCATATGCGCATTGACCCCAAGTCTGGGGAGCCAAAGCCTCTTTCCCAGATCTATGAGACTGACAAGCCAGAGGAGTGGAAACGCACCCGGCCAAAGAAAGTTGACCCTTCTGCTGCTTCCACCACGGCTCTCCCCCATGATGACAAGCCTGCCAAGAAACCCAAGAAGAAGCCAGCAAAGAAGAGAGAGAACAATGTGGAGCTCAGCCCTTCTGCCAAGAAAGAGGCCAAGCGCAGAAAGAAGGATGAGGAGAACACCATGAGGGAGCAGCTCGTGGAAGATTCCCGCGTCCAGGGAATCTTCTTGCAGCACATGAAGGCTGTGGATGGCTTGGAGATTGGTGAGCTCAAGAAGTACTTAATTCGGGTGGCTCCCAGAGACCTCAAGAAGTTTGTGCTTGATCCCTATTGGGGGCGCGAAGCTTGTGGCGTGAAGTCTAAGGAGCTTGCGTCGGAGACCACCTTGCCTCAGGTTTGCTACATTGGGCGTTTTGGCACTGCCCCTTCATCGAACTGCGGCATTGTGCTGAGCTACATCAGTGCGTATCTTCTTGTTTCCTGGTTGGAATCTTTGTGATGTCGAATTTGTTGAGGCATATCATGGCCACGTGGTGTATTTTTTGCCATGAAATTTTAGCACTGAAAATCGGGTCACGGAGAATGGACCATGTTGAGCAGTTGGTCCATGTTGAGAAGGCTTGAAAAGCTGGTATCATTTGTCTTTGGTAGTTTGAAATGGCAAGTTTTTATTCCTACATGTATAAAGTAAACAAAGCCCAGTCCATCCCCTTGTCTTCTGAGGCTTCTTGAATGGACGATCTGAACAAAGATGACATTTCCGATTACGCTGATCCCACCAGTCGAGTGAAGCAGCATGAGGCCTTTATCAAATATAATGCCAGCGTGGCTGCTACCAAGGTTCCCCGAAAGAAGTGAAATCATTTTATAAAGTCTATTCCGATGTTGTTGGGATTATACCTCCAAAACTGGACTTACTTGAGACTGTACTATTTGAGCAATTCATCTGAAAAGAAACCATATTTTATTGATATATGCTTTCATCGTACTCCATTTCCATAATTTAAGATTCTCGGGACAAGTGTTGAGGGATCACCCACGGTAGCCATTGCAAGCCAGCGTCAGTTGCCTGCTGTCGGAATGCTTAGAGGTTTGACGGGAGCTTTGTTGCCTTAGCTTTTGAGTCTGGTGGTACAGGTAGGATGCCGGGTTGAACTTCGAAATTCCCAATTTGTTGAGATGAACCCAGTGAAAAAAATCCTTGAATTATAGAGAATATGATTTTGGTTTATGATGTTTATTCCAAATTTCAGTGTAACTACATGCACTCGTGTTGAAACACCTCTGGTCTACTTGGTTGAACCACTATATCCCAACAATGGAGTTTGATGTTGATACGTCCTACCTGTACCTAATACTGGGTGATTTGGGTCACAAGGCCCACCGGAATCATTGGGGCATGGCCAGACCGAAGATGGCAATTTCAGCGCCACTGCTTCTCAGCTATGCATGGGGAAATCCTCATGGTCAGCTTTTGGCACCATCTTGGACATGAAACAATTGGAAAATAGAATCTCACATGTTTTCATGGCCATGCATTCTTTGCTCACAACATCCTTGTAGAATTGAGCTGAAAAAAATGAACACTTGTCTTAAGTTTAGTGCATGGTGAGGATTACAACACGTTGCTGGGCTTTCACAACATCCAAGTAAATGGTAATATGGACATGTTATGATCGCAATTCTGATGCTAGCGTTACATGACACCCACAAACCCCATAAAGTAAAGGAATGTTCAATGATTTTGAATTCTGCTTTCTTTTTTGATGGTAAAGATCCTGTCATCCTGTCCTTTCTCCCTACCACATCTGACCAGCGTCGAATGTGCCAAAGATTCTGCCAACGACCGGCGCCCAGGCACGATGATCGACTTGGCTGCTGATGCCTCAATTGAAGGGGCTCAAATGGGCAGTCAAGCTGGGACTAGTCCAAGATGATAGCCGTGTGCCAGACATGTTTGGACTTTTATATGTGCTTGTTGTTTGACATTTTTGTTCACGGTCACCTGCGTGGTTTCTCACAGGTCTCCAGGTGAAACAAAACCCTTAAAGACTCGAAACTGGTGTCTGAAGAATAGGAACATGATGCATTTGATGTTCTCTTTCAGCAACTGATTCAATCGCAGTTGTCAGTGCATGCTTTCATGGCCACTTTACTTCCATTGGAGCTCCAAAAATGACGCAGCAATCATGATGCAGCATTGGTACGCTGTCAAAGAAGTCTGCTCGGTCGAGATACGCTCGCCTCAAGCTTGCAGCTGTGGATCGGGACTTGTGGATGTAAACCATCATCTCACATCAGAATTTTTATGTTTCCAAGTGTAAACAGGAACAATAAATCCACATGAAGGGAATATAATCATGCTATGTGATATGTTTTGGTGTACTGGATCATTTGCATTTTTGCATCTTCAGCCGACTTGTTGCCATGGGGTGGTCAGCCAGCTTTACCAACGATTTGTGTTGGCGCTTGAAAGCGCTGGGGGCACCAAAGGTGCAATGTCCAGAAGTTTGGCGGTAAATCATTTATTATCAACCTATGTCTTTATTTGGATCCCTTCAGCATGTGTGTTATCAGAATTCTACACACACACACTGACTTCCACATATATAAGTGCACAATTGGAGTTAACTATGCTGATGACCCCGTAGGTGCTGGTCTTTGTGGTGCTCTTGACACTATGGACAGAAGTCCCCAGTCCGAGTTGGGAGGACCAATCCTGTTTTCATTTTTTATCGTAGTTATTATTTATGATGCATGTTTCTAAACCGTGCGCATTTGAAGACCTAGTACAAACCATTCGAACCCATGATTCTCAGCCCTTCGACAATTCATTCCCAGCAGGACCATTCCACCTTCAAATTCGTGGAGCTCTTTGCAGGACAGGCTGCAGCCACCAAGGAGTTTCGATGCGCCAATTTGAGAGCAGCGCGATTGGACCTGTTGTACATGCAGGGTGCAAAAGATCGCCAAAACCCGATGGATCTAACTACACCATCAGGGTTTGTGAAACTAGTCTGAATATCTTACAGTGCAATCTTCCACTGATAATGTTGATTCTGACACGTGGTTCTCAATACATTTGACCTTCATTGATTACAATGTATATTGGTTAATATGCAGACCTATTTTTTGGGTGATTTTTCAATGTTAGCTTCATATTCCCGGCTGAGGACTGCTCTTTCGGTGGTACTCAGGGGTGATGTGGATTATGGGTGGCTTGCCCATTTTGCATTGAAATGCAGCAGTTGGACGTCAGTCAACTCTGGTACGAGCAGCCGTAGTGCATGCTCATCGGTGGGTAACACCGAATTTGCCAGCGTGAGGGAGGGGAACTGCTTAGGAAGTCGGAGCTTTGAATGCATTCGTAACATGTAAATTGTATAGCCTGTATAGCTGTTGTTTCAAGACCCCTTTTTTTTGGGACCCCAACAATGTTTTGATAGTCCATGTATGTTGCTGGTTACAATTGGCAAACTGTGCGCACATTCACTTTTCTAAGGATGATACTTCTTATGATGGTGGCTGTGTGCCTCAATGCATGCATTGCTTTGGAACAGCCCTATTCATCTTTCTTTGAGTTCTACCCTCGGTTTCGAGAACTGGTTGAAAAACTGCAGAATCATGGGGGGCCATCAGCAGTCCCTTGACAAGAGTAGGGGATCGCAGTTTTGGTTCAGATTTCCACCCTCAACCAGCCAAACTGACCAGTGCCAAAATCCAAGTTACAATATATCTCGGATGCTGCAGCAAACCACGTAGAAGCCTGAGCTATACGCATGAAGATTATATAAATGAATTTGGTAATTTGGTCTAATGATTGTTACTTGGATTTGGACCCTACAGGAGTATATCATTGCGATGTCAAACACAAAGATGTGCTTATCAAATTCATTTGGCATCCAATTTCCTAGTTGCCTATTTGGGGCCTACCTGGTCATATGAAAACAACATCACCATTGCATATCCCCTGCCGCGCTTCAGGTACACAAAGTTTGCTGGTATATGATCCACTACGGCGGCCCAACTCCTAAGAGGCACTATGGGTTTGCAAATTCCCGCCACATTGGCCGATTGAATCTTGGGAAGTTCGACATGAAAAAATGGCTCAAGCGAAAGGCACAACTCCAAGATGAAGGTAAACACCATGAACTTGTCGTGAAGTACAAGGATGCTGCAGGGAAAACCAGGTGGAAGGGAACCAAGAGATTGCGCTCGAGTGAGTAACGACCTTACTTGTCATAAACTATAAGCTTGATACATCAATTGAATTGCAACAAATGCAGGAGGAAATTCGCTGTGGCAAATCCTTATGGGTTTATCCTATGTAGTTTCCACTATGAACATTGGGAAAAGTTTGACAATGTATGGTACCACTGACTGGATCCTAGAGAATGCGTTGAACCCCACCACTTTGAAACGGTTTGAAGATATTGATACACATACTGGCTAGGTTTCTGACTGCCGTTGGCTTAGGCATTACCCGTCCAAATTTGGGCGCAAATTGGTCGAGCTCTTTGACAAGCTCACCTCTGAGAAAAAGGGTATGCCTACTCTCCCACCAGTTGTTCCCAAAGCTTCGGTCACATTCCAACAAATGGAATTTACTGACATGTGGCCCGAAGCCCATATGACGGCTGTGGCCCATTACCTTCGGGCTGGGGTTCATTTACGAATTCCAAAGGACTTTTTGGAGCTTTTGCCTCGCAGGCTCTAAACAAGTTCCGAATCTTTTGCGAAGATTCCCTCGCTGAATGGCACCGGTTACAAACCACATTGGTTCAACATGATCCAACATCGTTTTATGATGAACAAATTTGGTTTTTGCTGTTTTTTACCCATAATCTGGCGTAATCCGTAATGTAGCGTAATCATCCGTAAAAATATCGTAATAAAACTAAAAAAAACCTATGTTTTTAAGCGTAATTTACTATGTCAGACCAAAAAAACCTATGTATTTTTCGTAATCAACATAATCTGATCATAATGGCACCGTAATTGGAAGTTTAAAAAACCTAGGGTTTTTACCCGTAATTTCGTAACCCGTAATTTAGCCGTAATTTACCCATAATTTGGCGTAATTTACCCATAATTGATTATGGGTATTTTTCAAAAAAACCTATGATTTTTTACCTCAAATTTTGATTATGATTTATAACGTTTGAAGCACTTTTGTTCGGATTTTGGTTATGGCTTCTCGGAGCTAAGGGAGGGATAGCTGAACTTAGATCCTTAATGGATCATTCTATTCAATTCACAGCAGTGTCCAAACAAATCCCGCTTCGATCCGACGGGATCCTGTGGCGCTTTGGGGAAAAAATGCATTATACAGTGCGTTTGATGATTGAATTTCTGTGGACAAGAATCAGATTGAACCGCATGCATCCTAGTAGTGCAGTGATATATGTTATCAACTTGATGTCCCTTTTCGAAAGCATTTCGGCTGTTTTTGAACTTCTCAGTAGGGGTATGGATTCCTTTGCCCGTTCCGATACCTGCAAAACAATGTTGTCGAGACAAAATTCGACCAGTGAAATTGCCCGTGGCCTTTCTCATGTCTTGTTGGATGCAGCTACCCAAAGTCTCCCTGACAATTTGGAGGATCTGGAGGACCATGATGTGTGTTGAGAATGGGGGATAGTCTTGAGGAAAACTATAGATATATGGGAAAAAAAAAGTGTTTGTGCATTATAGTATAGTTTAAATTGAAACTATTGTATGTGTCACCACCCCATCATCATGCAGGAAATGGAGCGACAGTTAATGGACATCTCTGTCAAAGATGATGCAGCCAGGGCCCCGTTTTGATGTTTCTTATAACCAGTGGTGGGGTCCCCACTGCCAGGACATGGTATCTCAAAGTTGACTACCTTGGGTCTATTTTCCCTTCCTGATTTTTCAAGATATGTTCCCACATGTTCCCACATCCTTTCTCCAAGAAACTGGATGCAAGCGGGCCCAGGCTCAATCCTTGGATGCACTCGCTGCCATGCAAACGCAGGTTACTAGACTGCATTGGGATATATGTTTGGCTCTTGCATGGAATTCATGTAGCAATGTAGGACATGGTAGGATTGTGGAACAAGGTGTTTTGACACAATGGTGATATTGAAATCAATTCTGCATGTATTTATGCTAGCAATAACGATGCTTAATTATGAAACTTATGAATTCCACATATATTTTTTGGACCTTTGACCTATGACACAAACTAATGTTGTTGTGGTTTCCATGCATGCACATCACCTCATGGAATCTAATGGGCCACACTACATCTTCATCTTTTCTGCTCCCTATCTGAGGCTACTCCTCAGCGTGCACCGTGGGCTTTGGAGGACACACAACCGGCATCAGAATCTCAGGTGGCGTTGTCTTTGGGTGGTACACCCCCTAGTGGGCCTACTTCTGCAGAAGTTCCTGCTGATGACACTGCCCTGAAAAATACTGTTTCGCCTGTGTCCCCTACATCGACTGTACCAAGCTCTGCGGGCAATTGTGCAGACCCAGTCATTTGATTCGAATTGGAAATCCATCAACATTTTTAGACCAAATTCATCCAAATTCAATTATGTTCCAAAAACACAAGATTCACGCAGGCATGCTGCACCAACCTCATCCTAGAAGTACAGTATTGGTCACAATAGTTGGACTATTTATGTTTTAAGATAACAATGTGTGATCTATAGGGTGACCAAACGGAAGTGATGTGTTGTGCTCACACAGATACAATTTACCTGTAAATTTTCTTTGGTTCAAATTCTAAATTCCCAACATTTCCCAACAATGGTTTTTGAAACTATGTCAATTCACCTTTACCTGGGGAACCGGCCCTGTGCAAGCCACTCTCAAACCAAGTGTCCAGCAAGGTTCGCTCGCGAGTCCTCGAGATGTTGCAGAATGGCGACATCGACAGTGCAATGGCACGGCAACTCCTGGGTGGGGATGTTGGTGAGGGTGCTTCTGGCAAAAAACGGTCAGTGGATCAGATCTCTCAAGAGGGTGGCAATGGTGAGATTCATACTCCCAAGGAAACCCCAGGCACTTCAGAAGATGGGGCTAGCCCTGGTGAATCTGTGGATGAACTGTTGGAAAAGGTGAAGCGGGCAAAGCTGGAGACTAAATTCAATTGATGGGGGAATGCAGCGTTCTTTTTTTTGGGCCCAATACCTTCAAGAAACACCTGATTCAAACACATCCCTTATACACTCCATGTATGTTTAATATAGAATATAGGGTTTTTATGTATGGAATAATACTGGTTCTACATACTTGGGGTCTCCACACCATGTGGCTATAGTAAGGAAGAAAACGCACTGAAAGCAAAATTGCGTCGGCTATGTGAAATGAAGAAGGATGGTCGATGCAATGTCCCCCAGTGGCTCCATGATGAATGGAAAAATGGTGATCACGCTGAACTTGCACGACAGTATGCCAAGTGTGGCTTCGACAAGGCGAACTCTTCCAGCCAACTTGTTTCAGCCAAGTGTCCACACAAAGTCATTGCTTTGGGAATCTCAATCTTTCCCAGCTCGGGCGTTTCCATCCTTTCCTGGCAGGACCAGTTCATCAAGTACAAAAAGCTCAGTTCCACTAAGAGCAAGAAGGAGTTGAGTGATGTGGCAGTTGGGTGGTATTCAAAAGAAGACATGCAAAAGGTGTTGAAATGGAATGCGAATCTCTTCTGCATAAACTGTTGAAATGATTCAAGTGATGAAACCAGTTGATTTGTTTATTGATGGCTTTTGGCTGTGCAGAACCACCACTATTTCATTATAGGATTTATTTATCATTTGCACCACATCTTAATGACTGATATGTTTTATCCATTTTGGATGCCCTAAGGAAGAAGATCACCGGAGCAGTCAAGTCTTGTGAAGCGGATCCAGAGCACTTGATCCGGCCCCTAGCAAGTCAAAATGGACCGCTGGAAACAAGGTAAATCAATGAATTGAACTCACAGTTCCATCACTCCCCCAATTGAAAGATATTGACAGTTAGGAACAGATGACTACTATATACTGTGACACTGTGTTTTATGCCTTCGATGGTTTCAAGTGACAACCCGCTAGGACACAAGTGATCTTCCTGGGTCCTATAAACAGCTTAGACATCCTGGTGCCCATGAGGCATTGCAAGTACGGAGGCGAAGATGAGTACTATGTGGAAGTGCGCGAGACTGGCAACTTCCAACAGGAGAAGGTGGACACTGAAAGCAGTGTGGAGCGAACCCAGGACACACCCCCTTTAGATTTTGCTTCAAGTTTCTTCCGTAGCAAAGACCTTTGCACCCTTCACATCGAACATCTTCCACGACCATTGCGCCTTGCAGGAAAATGGACCAGCTACCCTGAGGGGTGTTGATGTTGGCAGGTTGACAGCCAATCAACTGCGTACACAGGCTATGGCTTCTGCAGCTGTCGCTGAAACCAGCCAGGCAAGATACTTATTCCTTACTTGCTTGTGAGCAAACCTCAACTCAGTGTGTGAACTAAGGTATTTAAATATCAAGATGTTATTTGTTTGCTTTGGCTCAAGTATATATTCAAGTCTGAAACTTTGGTCCATTCTCCAACAAAGACATATATTTCTTGAACGTGTAACGATGTTCAGTGCGCACATACACTTTTAGTGTTTTGTATGCACAAATCAGCACTCATCTAGATCAACCCATTTGGCAGGCAGCCCGGGCAAAGGATGTCTTCGGCAAATATGTCGAATCAGTGCTGGCAAAGAGTGGCAAGCTTCGCAGTTTGATTACTGAACTTCAAAAAAATTATCCTGACGATGTTACGGCCAAAAAGCTTCTCATATCAATTGGAAATATGAAATTTTATGATGTATATGAAAGCATCTTTTGGGGTTCTCTGCCCAGCCTTGGAAGCTGCTCGTCTCAGGGCCATTGTCCAGCTGAACTCCGATCTCGCTATCCTGGACCAGGAGTACAACAAGCTGTCTGATCACGTGGCCCAGGGTGAAAGGGATAGCCACAATCAGTTGTACCCAGACTGAAAAAGTTCGTGACAATGAAAATGATTTTCAAGCCACCCCAAAGTTGAAGACATGAGACAACAAACACAATTTTGCGATCATAAGGTGGTCTTCGAAAGCTGATGAGATCATGAAAGCCTCGACCTTTGTGTGCCTTGACATGCCTTAACCTTCGTGGCAGTTGTCTATAGCTCATAGTAACGCACACAATATAGTCTATATTTATTTTGGTCACTGGCTAGGTGCACAAAGGTGGCCCAGAATGAAGCCAAGATTCGGTAAGAGCCTCAGCACGATTGCCAAGCGATACTGCAGTAAATCGTCACAAGTCCTGGAAGCAGTTGGCAACCAGAGTTGGCAAGTGTTTGCATTATTTGTTAGAATACCCTGAGTTACCTATGTGCGCCCTGTTGCAGGACTGCAAAAAAGCATTTCCAGAAGGTCCAGGTCGCGAAGGAGGAGTCCTAGACTGAATGAGCCTCGTGTTGCTTTAGCTTTTGAGCGTCTCTGGGAAAGACGCTGCTATGCTGTTTCCAAATTTCTGCACAACTGAACGAGTCATTTCTGGAGCGATGGATTGTGTTAAATGGACGCAATCGAGTTTCATGGGCAGTGGCCTTTGATTTCGATGGCACTCTTGAAGCAAAAATGGCAATCAACAAACCGGCGTACAATGATGATATTATATATCATGTACTCATGACTCATTATCTTTTGTTGTTTCATCTCGGAGCCAACTCTCTTTCTTCATGCAGTCTGCAGTGCCATGTCGAGGCTTTAGGTCTCATGGCTGGGATGCACCAGAATGTCAAACCTTTGCAGTGGGTTAAAAGAATGCAACCGGTGTACTTTCGAACATCAGCAAAACTCCCTGTGGGGTGTCTACAGATCAAACTTATTATATAGTATTACATATAGGTTCTCCTGTGAGAATATTTAAACTAGGGAATGTACTTCCTTGATGTGGCCTTTCCCAATTCACTATGACTCTGCCACCTCCCATCCTTCCCACCATGATCCACCATGTTGGGGCATTATGTCCTCCTCTGCCAGGTCGTGCTGGCAAAAGCGCAAAGCAGTTTGCGACCAACATTGGCGAGGGAGCTAATGACTCAGCTAATCAGTGAGCCTTCAGTTTGCTACTTGCTGCTGCTCTGTAACACCTTGTTTGTCTCCAATTGATTGCAAGAATGGCTCCAATGAATGCCATGGGAATCATGGGAAGTACTCACATTTTTGAAAACAGATAGACAATGCACACACACATAAAATTTGGATTTGAAATCTGGGCGAACAATTTGTGAACCAATCGAAGTCGAAGCTAGATGGTTTTCTTCAAATTTTAAGCTGCATGTAAAAGGTGTCAAAATACAACAATTTTTCAACATCTACTGTATTCTGAAACCTGTGCCATGGATCCTGTGGATGAAGAGCTTATTGAACTATTGAGCTGCCACCGACCAGCCTCTTGACCAACACACACTAGTTTTGAGCCTGATTTTCTCTGGTGAAATTGACAGAATGGATGTATATCATGGTATATCCATGCATCACTCCTTACACGGGTTCCTGAGGCTTCAATGGGACCCTACGCTTGGGAATGGGCCAGACCAGTGAAACGTGTGAGATCCAGTGCCACTCCTCCTCCTGTCAACTTACAATCTTTGCCCTTGGAGGAAGAAGAACATCATCCTGAAAAAAAACTAGGGGCTATGTATTGAACCACCTTCCAGTTTGGAAAGATCTTTTCTTGCTACACGATGAGCTCAAACATCTCCCCAGATCGTTGGATGTGTTCCGAAAGATTGAGGGGAACCCTGCTCTTAGCTTGCAGCTCCCAAAACCAGGGGTGACTGCTGGTCGAGTTCTAGAGCATGCTGCTCAAGTGTTCACTAAATTGCATGATCGAAACCATCCGATGACTTTCAAATTTGGTATCACTATGGATGCTGCTGTGAGGTGGCAGTACTATGACAAATGCTCGAAGGACCGGTTTGATTACATGGTAATCATCTATGGGGCTTCCAATCCACATGGACCAGCTTTCCTTGAAGCTGCATTGATTGACAGGTTTCAAAGTTTCCCGGTTGCACTTTGTTTCAGCCTACATGCTACTTCTTGAAGATTGCAGTGTTTCTATCTCATCCATGGTTAGTGAGATCATTGTTGTGCAACGTTGTTTGCTTTGATTTACTTTGCTTACTGTATATAGCCCAAAGCCCACTGGCCGTTTTGAATCTAAGGTTGGAAGGGGTGCAAGAACGAGCGAAGCGGAGGTGAAACCATGAGGAATGTAGATAGTGGTCCATACCTAGCATACCTGGTATATAAATCATACAGGCGACCTAGTGCGCAAGTCCGAAGTACAGCCAGAACCTAGCACCTGAAAGGTCATGGGGTTGCTGTGGGAGTTTCACTGACATTTCGTTGGAAAGCTTTTGAAATTAGAAAACAAATTCAAGCATCACAGAAATGTTGCTGTGATGCAGTGCCACTTAGTGCTGGCAGCCTTGGCATGTCGAGTCAAAATCTTTCTTTTGCGGCATTGCAATTAGATAGCTAGTTTTTCAATGTCACAATGCATTCTGTGTGAAGTTCGTGTCAAGCAAACCTACGACTCATTTGTCTTGCACATTGGTTGGTGTGGGGTTTTATGTTTATCTGGCTTCTGCTTTGATTGCTGAGGCCAGCTGCTTGAGTCAGATCCGAACTGCAAAGGCGGTTGTTCAGGATTTTGGTGAGGAAGAAGCTGCTCGCAAGGGTGTATTGAAATGGGCCAGAGCTAGTGAAATACACCCAGAAAGAGATAGTCACCAAGTCATCAAGAAACAGAAATCTATTCTGGACATACCTGTGAAAACAATACAGTGTGATGGGATTCCTCTACCTTGGATCTCTCCTGAATCCTGGTTGGTCTACTTGGTGGACAATGGGTTGTGGCCGTTGCTAGCGGGATGTGAACGTCATGACTACGCTGGGGCTGATCACAATTGGTCTCGCTTCTGGGAGGCTTACAAGAAGATTGACCCAAGTTTTGACTTGTTTCATATGGATGGGATAGACTATTCCAAAACCGCTGCAATGCTGATACACGGTGACGAGGGAAGAACCTTAAAGAAGAATGGAATAATGATTACAAGTTTGCAGAGCTGTTTGGGTCGTGGCTACGATGAGAAACGAGTCAGGAAAGAAAATGACAAGCTGCAGGTCAATTTTGCTGGCCATTCTTTCACTTCAAGGTACATTTTGAGTACTATCCCGAAGACTGCATACGAAACCCATCCAGAGGCATTTCACAAAGCTATTGACCATGTGGCCAGGTCATGTAGCAAACTGCTTGAACATGGGTATGTTGACAAAGCCCGGGGCAATGAGCTCTACAGAGTTGTGATTTTGGGAGTCAAGGGTGATGCTCCATATCTTCAAAAAGTTGCACATTTCTACCGGAGCTACAATACTGCAGTTAAGAGGGGTGATGAACGTGGTCCACCAAAAGGCTGCTGTCCGTATTGTCTTGCTGGTACTAATGCTTGTGCTGCTGAAGAGATTGGGACTGACAACCCCCGTTGGCTTCGCTCAGTGGCGGTGAAACTTCCTTGGGTCAGAACTCCGGCCCTCATCCAACACTTGGTACATGATCGTTCAGATCCTGCGGCCTTTTTCAAGTCGGACATCTGGCACATATACCACTTGGGATTTGGTCGTTCCTGGGTGTGCAGTGTGATTCAGGTTCTGCTGCCTTACCTGCCTCTTCCAAACTTGGATGAAAAGTGGGCCTACTTGAGCGATCATTACATCAACTGGTGTAGATCGAACCGGCGGCAAAGTCATGTGACGCGTATCACTCCGTACCTCATGAGCTATGGGGATGCCACAGGTACATTGGGCAATTGGAGTAAAGGCGCTCTAACGACAAATTTCAGTGCTTGGCTTGTCGATTTATTGAGCTCTGGACCTCGTGATCCAGATGGGCTGTTGATGAAATGTTGTACAGCAACTCGCAGGGTGAACAGTATGTTCAGTACATTGTACAGGGCTGGTGCATTTCTTGGGGAAGAGGAGTGTGCCTTTGTTGCTGAACAGGGCCAACAGTTTTTGGTTTGCTACGCAGACATGGCACTTAGAATGTTTCGGCAGGATCGACAATGGTTGTTTCCGTTGTATCCTAAGCTTCATGTATTTCACCACCTGGTCCTTCAGGTGCAAAGATCGGGGCTTGCAGTTAAATCTGCAATTAACCCCACAATGTGGGGGTGTCAAATGGATGAGGACGAGGTAGGACGTGCCTCGAGGTTGTCGAGGCGCGTCAACATTCGCAAGGTGTCCTTGCGAACTCTAGAGAGGTACCTTGTGGCTGCACATACAGCATTTGTACGGAGCGGCCTTCTGTCCTAGAAAAGGGTTGTGCTGTGTTCTCTTTGAATGGGCTGGTACATGTGGATTATCCTTTGGATCTGAGCATTGATTGTGAGTGTTTATGCTGGTGATGTTTGATTGCCTGTGTTGATTTTGTGTTGTTTTAAGGTTGCTGTGTGGGTTGTGAGGGAAACATGGATGGTTTATCTACATGGAGATCATGCAGTCCAAACATGTGAAAACCAGGAACCGGGTATTTCTAAAAAAAACAGTGTTTTTTTGGGCAACCCAAGAAAAAGAAGGTAAAAGGATATGTAGGTATATCTGGATCTATTGCATCATATTGCATCTATATCAATTTTTGGATACGAAAAAAAAAAAAGCATTTACCACTGCTATGCCGAGGGGCCATTTTCTCGAGACAGCTTCAGCACGCCCATCTTGCTCTGCATGTAAACCCTGAGAGTCATCCCGCCACTGGTTGGTGGTATACCTACCCCTCCGAAAAATATGAAAGTCAGTTGGGATGATGACATTCCCAATATATGGAAAGTCATAAAAGTCATGTTCCAAACCACCAACCAGGCCATAGCAGGCCATTATTGGGCTCTGAAAACGGAGACATTCACCCCTACTGGCGGGATGATCATCCCCTTTTCACGGTTACCAACCAGCCAAAAATCTTAAATGCTCCTACTAGGACTTTCTTTGGATGTCGCCAAAGCTGGTTGATCACCCCAGCCCCTCGGAAACTCAAATCGATCCATTGGTCTCAGATTTCTTCGCGCATCCCTGGGGCAGCCGACTGGCCCGGCATGTACTTGTAACCCATCAGCCGCATGTAGAACGGCCTAAGCTGGATGGGATGACTTCAGGTATTTCGGTGATTCGAGGCTGGTGGTGATAGTGATAATAAGAATAGTTGATATCAGAAATAATGATTGTTTTATTGGGTTATACTAATTCTAATAAAATTCGCAGAACAATATCTAAAGTGATGGTTGGTGATAAAATGATTATAAGAAAAATCAGTGATGATCGCCATCGTAATCGTCATCAACAGCATCATCGCCACCATCATCACCATCATCACCAACATCAGCTTTTTCTTGTTCATCTTGTTCGCCTTCGTCTTCATATTAATCTTCGTCTCAATGTTTCGTCTTCATCTTGATTTTGATTGTCGTCACTGTTGTATGGATACAAGTAGCATTTTCAGCGAGAAGCACCATCTTTTCTTGAGCAGGCTGTAACATCGCGAATATATTGTGGCGTCAGAAGTACGGTCCCCAACAATCTTTGCTCTTCGGTTCATGCAGAAACCATAGATCTCTTTAGATATCCGGATATCCCGGCTAAACTGAGACGACTCAAACAAACTATCTACGGTATATAAATCTGGGGGCCCAAGGGTCATAAATGTGGAGCGAAATCCCAAGATACGCGGGGACACCATTTTGGGATGATTTCCCCATGATTACCCTCAAGGAATTTAACACGGCTATGGAAAGTGGCCATTTATAGACGATTTTCCTTGAAAAATGATGCTTTTCCATAGCTGAACTACCAGAGGATAAACCATCACTCTCGATGAGTTTTACCAACCCGAAATGTTGGCTCATTTTGTGTACTTTCCCGTATGTAAACCAGTGTTTCTGGGGGTTCCGTCGTTCTGAAGTCAGCGTAATTCAATAGACAAACAAACAGACGAACGAACAAACGAATGAACGAACGACCGAACGAACGAACGAGTTGTTTTGAAATAAAAATAGTTGAATGGGGTGGTTGATTATCAATTAGATCAATGAACTGAGCAATTAACTAATCGGGTAATTACGCAAATAATTGGTTCCTGAACTGATTAATCATTAATCAAACAATGAACTACTGTATGAGCTGGTTAGTTATGTAGTTACTGGAAATATGCAATCAATCAGTTCACCAATTCTGAATGACGTAGCAATTTCAGAAGTTAATATTATATGATATTATATGTTAATATGATGTAATATGTATTTAATTATTCGTATATACGATATAGCTATACATGAGTTGGTTGGAATGTTTGAGTATAGTAGTTGATCAGTAAAATCAGCACCTTGACTGGTTGGTGGTTGATCACCATCCCAGTTCTATCGTTAAAAATGGGCGAAACAAAGAATCTGTGAGCCAAAAAAAAACTATCCCATCCCATTCTAGATACTGAGTCCTGCATATAAACCCAAGCGTGCTGCACTGGGTCCCATTCTAGTATAGTTCGTTACCAAACATTCCCATGGCATTCCAAACATCCAAAAAAAGTCCCCCATGAAACCAGCCCTATGCCCAAGCTCCGTAGGGCCCCCCTTGGGTTACCCCGGCAGCTTGGTGGTGGTGCAGCGGCCGTAGAAGAGATTTCGATCATGGCGAAAGGCGTCCACCTGGCCCCCGTTTTTGGGGATGTCCTCCCCCCACCGTTTTTGGCAGGGTCGAATAGTTAGTTCATGGGATGATAAATGACGGTTTTGCTGGCAAAACATTACAAAACTATTTGGATTTCATCGCCAAGAATCGGATTTAAGCAGGAAGAATTGAGGTTTCACCAGCAAGCATTGGGATTTTACCAATTGAAATTGGGATTTGAGTTGTGAGCAACTATGTAATTTCGATCTTACCACCAAACGTGTGGATTTGAACACAAAAATTGATCAGTTCTTGCTCGAAGCATCAAAGCTGTTGGTTTTAAAACTCATGGTTGTTGCAAAAAAAGTCGCAAAGATTCGGATAACCATTGTTATAACCATGGCTTTTATAACCATGGCTTTTATAACCATGGTTGATAACTCTTGGTTGAAACCATTTAAGTAGTACTGGTTGTGTGTTGGTGGCCGTGAATAGCCTGCACTCTGGAGCTGGTATCCTTGGCTTTGACCATATGGATCCATACGGATCGTAGGGAATCAATGGATCCATCATATGTTGATATTGTGTAGCTCAATGCATTGGTTTGTTAGGGGAAAAAAATTCTACAGGAAACCATAGATTTGCCCATCAAGATCATGGGGCTTTCCTGTACATTTTCCCTTAAACCAATCCGTTGTGTAGCCTCCAAAAAATCGAACCTGGCAATGGAAAACCCCCAAGAGCGAAATCGAGATTTTGACAGGACGTGTATTTTCTGGGACATCTTTAATTGCCACGTTTGATTGCCGGAGGGTCATGCTTCCAAAGAGAATCTTAACCATCAAGAGCAAGGATTAAAACCATCAAAAATATGGACCGAACCATCAAACATCGAGAGCTATCGACGGTTTCAACCCCTCTGAAAAATGATGGAGTGAAAGTCAGTTGGGATGATGACATTCCCAAGTGAATGGAAAGTCATAATCCAGTCATGTTCCAGTCACCACCAACCAGTACTATGGTTTCTAGCTATAAATCCTATGAAATCCCCATCGTTTTTTGCTTACATCCATCATTCTTTCCTATAAAAATGCAAAAACCCTCCCAAGTTGTGGCAATTTCACTGGGGATGACGGGATTGACCAATTACAATTCATGAATTGACTCAGGATTCCAGTCTTAGACAGGCCAGCTATTTTTTAGGGCTCCCACCTTTCGATGGCGAATATTTCGGTGGCATGTCAACTGAGAATTCTTGGTGAATGGATACCCATCTTTCTTGAATTTCCTGCAGGCATAGTTTCTGGTTTCCAAATCTCTGTGGACTATGCATTGCAATTTTGGGATACCCTCTGGTAATTTGTTACATAGCTATTGAAAATGACCATAGAAATAGTGGATTTTCCCATTAAAAATGGTGGATCTTTCCATAGTTATGTTAGTTTACCAGAGGGTAAATCACATCAACATTACCAGCGGGGTGGATTTATTAACCATGTTTCCCAAGTTAATTTTATAATCTTCAGAAACGAAATGACCATCAACCAGCTGAAATGACCAACCATAAATCTTTGTGGATAGCCTCTGGTAAATTAACATAGCGAACTGGAAAGATCCACCATGTTATAGCTGGGAAAATCCACTATTTCGACTGAGCCATGTTCAATAGCTATTTTGACATAACCAGAGGGTATCTCCCATTTCTGTTCTTCAGTTTAGTGGTCATGATTTCAGCCATGTTTCCCGGCCACCAATATCGCACCCTCAGGTCCGATCCCAACACGGAAAAGCCCGGAAGTCGGTACTTCTGACCTCGGCGACCGTTACGGACCCGGGGGACCATGTTGAAACACCCCACCCAGCTATAGATGGAATATCCCCAGGTTTTTTTTTGTTGGGTTCAGGGTGGCTAAGGGTTTTTAAACCACTTGCAAAGTGGGATGCACATTCAACTAGCAAGAAAGGGTGATTTTTGAGAGAATCAAGGGGACTTAGTACCAATGGCTCGGAGATGTTCTGCCGCTTCTGAGGTAAACAACGTAAGCCCGCCAGCGATTTTTGCGCTGGCTGATCGGAGTTTGGGATAGCCCTCAAGGTCATGAGGTTGATTCCAGACATTTTCAGCAAAGTTGGATGAGCTGTCTGGATTCTCTTATATATTATATACTATATATTGTATCATATTAGATCATATTTATATACTATATTATATTATATGATATCATATTCTGTATCATGAGTTTGGGGCCAGATCTATGCTATGTGGGCAGTCTTCGCTTCCAGTGCTATGCCGACCGTGCACCACGGTTTTTAGTCCTACCTCGAGGTGCCCCGTGCCGAAATTGGCCACCGAGCCATGGCTTGGAAATCGATCCGGATGAGTACCCTTGGACCCTTGGTGATTCACGAACCTCGAAAAAGTCCGGCCATTAACATAGTATGTGGTTGGGAAACTCGTGGTAGCTCCTGAGCTCCCCAGTTAATAGGGAATATGAATACCCATAGCTCCCTCACGCTCCCTCCTAACCACTGGATAGGTAAAGTTCCCAATAAAATATCGGGCGCCATTCTTCCAGTGATTCATCACCTTCCATCCTTGGAAAATCATCGGTGCCCCCACCGCTCGCGAGCTCCCTCCGAGTGCCCGAACGCACGTAGAAGAGGCGCATGTCCGTGACCACTACCGCGTGCATGAAGTTCCGGAAGTCCACGAAGAAGCCTTGGTGACCGGCCAACGGTGAAGCCGTTCTATTGGTGACCGGTGACGGCGCAACAGATGGGTTTACCCTCTGGTAATGTGTGACAGAGCTAGGACAAAATTGCCCATTTGGTGAATATGTATATGTATATCAAAGATGGTCTTGTTAGATTGGGATGACCTTACCATGATTCTTTCTGGAATTTCAAGGGATTATACATACTCCACTGAATGGGATACCCTCAGGTCCTTTGTCACAGTTTAAGCTATGGAAATCATCGAAAAATGACGCATTATTTTGGATATGAAACTCTATTAAAGATGGTGATATCCCAGAGACCATAACCAAATTACCCGAAAATCTTCCAGGAAAAGCTGTCTTTGTGACCAGCCTTGATGGTGAAAATCTGGTAGGGATATCTCGGTCTTACCCAAAAAACGCTTACCAGTTCGCCAATCAGTTAGGATCTACCAAGAAATTCTAAGTGAGGAATATGTAAAAAAAACGATTTGGGCCGGTGACTGGTATACCTTCTGCCATCATTTACTATACATTCTGCAACCAAACATGGAGGTAACTCGTTACAACAAAAACGTCTCAGGACGAGCCATCTTTCTCCGCCTCTTGGGATCACTTTTGGATCTGGCAATCATCCCACGAATCGTGGCTAGTCATGGTTATTAACCTACAGGAACCCCGAAAAGATCGAAAAGATGTGGAAATCCAGGATGATAGGATGGTACTTCTCCATCATATTTCCTATTTCCAGGTCTTCAACATGTTGGCATCTTTTTGGGGGGCCACGATCTGTTTGGTGACGAAGCAGGGTCAGTTTCCAGAGATACCCCATGAGTAATGTGGTTATTTTCCTCCAAACCCTGGCTGTGCAGGCTGAAATATAGCTGGTTAATGGATGTCCATTCCCCAAAAGGGGTAAATCCATGGGTAAATTCATGGGTAAATTCAACATGTGGCTGTACTCAGAATTCATCAATCCATGATCCATTGGGAACGATCGTCACATCCTGGAACTCCACATGCCCTGCAGCGGAAGAAACTCCAGATCACATGGAACACGGCAAAGAAGAGTCCTGCCAAAATGCCTTCAATGACCTTGCGAGACGAGGAGACGTTACGTAAAAACGCCACGTTTGGTTAACAACGGTTGTGAGGGGTGTATTAAGTGAACCGTAGAAACACTTGACTATGTGTGTTTTCTTTGAACAAGTATAACTTATAGCTCTTAGTTTTATTTCTATCCACATTTCACAAGTGGTTGAGTATCACCCTGGTCGCTATTGCAGTTTATCTACATGACCTGGTCTGCTTCCCCAGGGTTGATGTTCCACATGATCAACAACCATCATCCGCAAGTTGGGTATGGATCAAAATTTGGCACCCCTCCAAGTCAACATTACTACTAGAGACGTCCAGTTTATCTGATATCTATATTTTTTGGGGGGTTGGAAATTGAGAGCCTGAAATCTCATCCTTTCACTTCTGAAATCTCACCCTTTTGTCATGGAAAATCCGCATGTTTTTTTGCTGATCACATCCGCAGATCTGGTAGCTGAGGAAAGAGAACAAAAAACAACCAATCATCAACCAATGTTCATCAACTATACATACATATATATATACATACATACATATATACATATATACACATATACATATTCATATTCATATAAATATATATATGATCATAGATATGTATGTTTTTAAATATCCATGACTATATACATATATATATATATATATGATTGTATATATGACAATATATATGATTGTAATTATAATCAATTATATGTATATATATATATGATTATATATATATATATGATTATATATATATGATTATATATATATGATTATATATATATGACTGTGTATATATATATATATATGATTAGATATATATGAATATGTGTATATATTGTATATATATAGATATATATGTTTTTTCATGTATATATATATAAGTGATTATATATATGATTATATATATATGATTGTATATATATATAATAATATGATGATTACATATGTGATTATATATATATGATCATATACATATGATTATATATGATTATACATCTAGATGTGATTATACATATATATATGATTATATATATATGATTATATCATATGTTTATATATATATGTGAGTATATATATATGGTTATATATATATGACTATATATATATGTGATTATATACATATATTTGATTACATGTATATGATAAAATATATATATATACACATATAATAGTATATAGATGATAATACATATGATAATGTATATATATACATATACACATGATAATATATATATGATAATATATATATGATAATATACATATATGATAATATACATATATGATAATATATATATATGAGACTAGATATATATGATAGTATATACATATGATAATATATATATGATAATATATATATGATAATATATATATATGATAATATATATATATGATAATATATATATATAAATATATATATATATATGACAATATATATATATGATAATATGAAAATATATATGATAATATATTCATATATATGATAATATATATATATGATAATATATATATATATGTATTATAATATGTATATATATAATAATATATATATGTATTATAATATATAAATGATAATATATACGTATTATAATATATAGGAACATATATATATGATAATATATATATATGATAATATATATGATAATATATATATGATAATATACATATATGATAATATATACATATATGATAATATATACATATATGATAATATATGATAATATTTATATGTATGATAATATATATATATGATTATATATATATATATGATTGTATACGTATGAAAAAATATATGATAATTTATATATATATATATAATCATATATATATGATTATATATATATGATTGTATATATATATATGATTATATATATATGATTATATATATGATTATATATAGAATTATATATATATGATTATATATATATGATTATTTATAAATATGATTATATATATATATGATTATATATATGATTATTTATATAATTTTATATATACATATGTTTATATATATAATTATAAATATATATATATATATATTTAACAGTATGTATATATATATGTATATCATTATATATATGTATATCATTATATATATATATGATTATATATGCCCTCTGTTTTTTCATGATTAAATGATCAAATGCCCATGGATTTTCTGTTTGATGGCTGAGTCACACCAGCTTGACCGCAAGACCCTGAGGCGCACCTTAGTGCCTCCCACCATGACGTGACCACCCACTTCCACTTTCTGCGTGGGCGCCAAGACCATCACCTCCATCAGGTGGGAATGTGGAGGGTTTTAAACATGGAAAAAGAATGGTAAAATTGAAGCCGCAAAAGTATGGGAGAAAATGGGGAATTGTCTTGTTTTCGTGGAGCTTTTGATTGGAGGCTCGTTAGCTCGTTGTGAGAATGAGACCTGATCTCACCCTTGGGATGTGGAGGCCTTGAGACATTTTGTGTGTTTACTCACTTGCCAGATTCTTGTCATCCCAAACATACTGCACTGCCCAGTCACGGATTTCGTTCAATACGGCTCTGGGTGAAGGTGGCCCTATGAAAAAGCCACAACCACAGGATGTCATGGGAGACACAGACTTTCTAGGCAAGGACATCAAGAGTACAAATATAGGTCATCTGCATCTCGAGACATTGGGGAAATTGATTCCACAAGTTCTTTATAAATACACAAGAGTTCATTGGACTTCTTTGGGCTTTGAAACGGCGACCCATCCAGAGTTTGTTCCGTGACTTTATGGGTCATGCAACCCTTTTTTCCAGATGTTTCAAGTATTTGACTGTGCCATAATATCATGGTAGGTTCCTTGACTGTGCCGGGGCTAAGAACCAAGTCCAACTTAGGAATTCCTCGCCGGAGATATATAGACCATGACCATCTAGCTTTGCCAGAAATCCTCTGCAAATACTGGGGTTACCTTCCAAGCCCCGGCCCCTGAACGCGCCCCAAAAGGTGTGACCTTTCAGGCTTCATTTGGAGTTCGGAACCAGAATTAGTTCATCCATTTATACCCTCTGGTTATGACTAACAGTTCGCCATGGTAAATTTATGGCCTATTTAATTTATAGATGCTTTACCGTTCTTAATAGCCTGGTGGATCTTTCCATGGCGAACTGTGAATGTCATAACCAGAGGCTACTCTTTGAGAAACCTGGATATAACAAGCAGATGATGATCCCGATCGGCTTCGATCCGTGATGATCCTCCAAGTACCTTTTTTTGATTAGCCACCAACTATCTGGATGATCATCAGAAACACCTCTGAAGTATACGGCTAGTTTGGGATAGAAATACCCTACTGAACCAGATTTTTCTTGTTCGTAATAGGAATTCACCACCCCAAATGACTTACCATGGTTATCCAATTTTACCATAAGATTATTGTTTTGTTGGTGGTTTTTTCAACCCCTCTGAAAAAAATGAGTTCGTCAGTTGGGAGTAGCAAATTCCCAATACCCAGATGCTCCATGGTGCTGGAATATTTACCTACATTTGCCCTAATAATCACCCAGTCATGTAGGTAAATATACCAGCACCATGGAGCATATGGGATATATGGAAAGTCATAAAAGTCATGTTCCAAACCACCAACCAGATAGTTATGAAACCATCAATCCAGTGCTACATCCAGGACTGGAAAGCTGGGATCCCTCACCAGTACCATGACGATTAGGCCGTAGAGCACTGAGGGGCCAAGGTCACTGAACCTGCTGGGAGAAGAACCCAGTGATGTTTGGTGAACTAAAGATCTACAATAAACAGCAATAAAGCCCAGCTATTGGACTTAGAAACCAACTTAGCTAAGTAATGTGCCCCACCTTGTATGAACAGGGCTCCCATGATACAAAGAGGGTAGAAATTCGCTAGGAGAAGCAAAATGACCAACAAAATCGTGGTTCGTGGTTCGTCACCTTCACAAACGCTCCACCACGCGCAAAGCAGACCCTTGTGACATGTGAGGACAGCAGTCCCCCTGATTGGTCTTGTTTCGCCATGTTTCGCATTGGGTTGGCTCTAGGTTTCTGTGAAAGGGTTGTGAGGAAGAAAGATGCAAGTTGATCACCACTGAGAGGAAACCTCTACTTCAGTGCGACAAGCGACGCTTCAGTTGAAAAAAGCGTGCCGCTTTTGGACCCTGCGACTCCGTAACGCTATGCCTCTTTTTAACCATAACGAAGCCCACAAGTTCCAACAAGTTCCAACCTGGAAATCTTGTTCTCGTCCCAATGATTTCCCAATGATTTCCCATGGATTTTCCTATGCCATGATCATCCCGCCCCGTAGAAGGCGCGGCGCCAAGGCGCCTCATTCGCTCCATCTCGGACCAAGCAGCCACCACCTGTCCGCTGGGACTAAAGATCAAAAGCCTGGCACCCGAATCCGATCACATCAAGATAGGTACCCTCTGGTGATTTAACATAGCTATAGAAAATCCACCCGTTTTTAATAGGTAAACCATCTATAAATGGGCCATTTCATAGCAAACTGTTAAATTACCAGAGGGTAGCTATGGATTCTTCTTCGCTGTGGCATGCTGTGTTTCAAGGTCCCATCCCCAGTGGATACTCTCGGATTCGATCTAGTTTCATCAACAAGTCCCCAGTTCACTGATCTCCGAAATCGGGTGGCAAAGGAGGAGGAGGTACACCACAAGAATCATCATTTGGCCATGCGCCATGTCACCTATCACGTTCATCTTTACCAAGAATAATGGAGAAACTGGTTTGATCAACAAGAATCACGGAGATCAAACCATGATTTTCTCATGGTTTTCCCATATATTTTTCTTCCATATTTGATCATGAGAAAACCATGTTCCCATTATGCATATCCAGAATCATCTGGTTGGTGGTGCAACAACCATCTTGAAAAATATGAGTTCGTCAATGGGGTTGGGATGACATCCCATTCATATTATGGAAAATAATCCAGTCATGTTTGAAACCACCAACCAGTTATCCATGATTATCCATTATTGTTCAGTATCATCCATTCTTATCCATGATATCACAGATGATTTTCCCATTAATCTTCCCATTTTCTGTGGCCGAGCCGAGCCATGGACACCCGGCCTGTTCCTGGTCATGGAGGCCCAAGGCCTTGGTGGGCACCTTCACCGTCCTTGGCGCAACCAGAGGATATGAAATCCCAATCCGTTGGGATATTAAGCCCATAACTATGGTGACATTATAAATTACATATATATAATATAATATAATATGATATAATATAATATAGTATATAATATAATATAATATATAATATAATATAATATAATACAATAAAATATAATATGATATAATATAATATAATATGACATAATATAATATAATATATAATATAATATAATATAGCATAATATAATATAATATGATATAATATAATATAGTATATAATATAATATATAATATAATATAATATAATATAATATATAATATATAATATAATGAAATAAAATATAATATAATATAATATATAATATACTGAAATATAATATAATATGATATAATATAAAATAATATAATATGATATAATATGATTTGATATAATACAATATAATTTAATATGATATAATATGATATAATATAATATAATCTGATATAATATAAAATAATATAATATGATATAATATAATATAATATGATATAATATAATATAATATATTGTAATATAATATAATATGATATAATATCATGTAACATAGTATAATATAATATAATATAATATAATATAATATGCAATAGATAATATTTAATAAATAATATACAATATATATATATATATATCAATATATAATATATAATGTATAATAAATAATATACAATATATATATAATATATAATATATAATATATAATATATAATATATAATATATAATATATAATATATAATATATAATATATAATATATAATATATAATATATAATATATAATATTATATATAATATATATATATATTTATATATCCACTTCCAACTGGAACTGCACTTTCAAGTACTTCACGTATAGCTATGGAAGCCATGGCCTAGAAACAGTTCGATGATTCACCTATGTTTCTTTTACTGCCATAACCTATAGCATGGACATTGCCACAGGTCGTAGGCACTAGCCTGCTTCCTATCTACTATCAAGAACCTAGGGCCTCGCTCACTGATTCATAATGTATTAATGAAACAAAAACTTCCCATGTAGCAAGATTATCGTGGTTATTTTCCCCAGCAAACTGTGAGGGAAACAATCTTAGGGAAACAATATTAGGGAACCACATGGATGTTCCATTTGGGGATTTCCGAACATGGCTGATGGTGATTTTGACCAACAACAATGACAATATGCTGGAATATCATTGAATTTGATGGGGATGTTCTAAGTCGAGACCCAAAATCCCTCCAAGTTATTGGTGTCTCACCAATGGTGAATACGGTGTTTCACGGTGTTTCACGGGTATCCCTTTGGGCGTTGCACCCAAAAAATTGGCCAAAACTCCAAGATTTCACCCTCCATCTGGTTATGACATTCACAGTTAGCCATAGAAAATCCACCCATGTTTAAGAACGGTAAACCATTTATTTCGATTAGGGCCATCTATACCATGGCTATGTTAAATAACCAGAGGGTAAACCAAGAATTTCACTCAGAAAGATAGGTTTCTCATGGTTTCTCTGAAAAAAAAAGAAACAAAAAGGCTGCAAAAGAGTCTAGGGATTTCTACGAAATACGACATACCTGTGTGCCATCAAAAGAGATGTCTCATGTGTCCTCCATAAACAGCCTCTTTCTTGGGTGGTGCCAAATCCAACCTGTGTCTGTCAAAGAAAAAATGATGGAAGTTACAGGGGGATGGCATTAAAAGTTTGGATCTGCGCCAAAACAAAACGATACTCTCTGGTAAACTAACATAACTATGGAAAATCACCATTGTTAACGGGTAAATCCACTATTTCTATGGCCATTTTTAATAGCTATGTTAGTCATTACCAGAGGGTAGATTCCCCAGTGATAACTCAGTTCGCACTGCCGCCAGCAATGGTGGATGATCGCCCTCGGTGCCCATCGCAAACCGCCTTGTGGCGCCCCGAAAATTTCGAGACGAGTTGCAAGAGGAAGTTCTCCAAGTCCATCTTGACGATGGAGTCCTCCTTAAGGAATGCCTGGATTTCCAATAGCGAAGCATGCGTAAAACAAAAAAAAGTGCGTTCAAGCCATCGAAATATGAGGCATTAGGGGATTCTCATCCCAAATAGGGTTGAAAATATAAAATTCAAGTACATATATGATGATAATAATAACAATAACAATAGTAAAACTAATTAGTAGTAGTAGTAGTAGTAGTAGTAATAGTAGTAGTAGTAGTAGTAATGAAAGTAACAAGAACAATAGAAACAAGGACTAATTATGAATACCACAAACCCATTCCGTTCATACCAACTGCACAGACCAACACCGCTTGGATTTCTCCTCATGAGATCTGACCTATTTCGACAGTGCGATGCTGCCGATCCCAAAGCCTTAATTACTTCCGGTACACTCCCCTAAATTAACATAGACCCTGTCAAATAGGGGGTTGGAAGAGTACTTTCCCCTGAAAAGCTTTAACAAGTGTTGGTTTTCAGGGTCGATGTTAATTTGGTGGAAGGTAATTGGTGACAGTTTGCTATGGAAGCCATGGTCCATTTAGTTCCAAGCTGTGTACCAATCAAGAATTACCAGAGGCTTGATTTCATGTTTGGTTCAGATCTACCAATCCCTTCCTCTCGTATCAAATACGCTCCCAAACGACTCCCCTGGTTTAGTATTGGAGCTAAGTATTTGTTTTGGGGTCCCATATAGGGGGTATTTAATATTCGGGGGATGGGATTACATCACAAGATTCTGCCACCCATCTGGTCCATTGACAGAATTTGAAGTCCAACATCTGATTTAACGGGCCATGAAATTGAGGGCTTCCCCAATCTTAGCCATGATAAATTTCTGGGCTGACCAGTCGGCCATGTTCTGTGAAAATGTGAATCTACTCAGATCACAATTGATTGTTGCTTGTATCAAATGTACCCTTTGCACCTATCTGGGTATCTGGGCATAGGTCAAAAGTGACCCAAACATGTTTGATGATGAAATTTATGTATATCGATCATTGTTGCCCGTATCACGGTATGGCTTGCAAAAATTGAATATTCACCTTGTAGTTGGTAAATGTCCTCAGCTTAACTTGATGGCTAAATCCCCATCCTTGAGACACTGAAACTGCTTCAACCATCCATTTTTGGGGCTCCACAAATGGTGTTTCCAATTCTTGGCGCCTTAAATCTGCGAAATGGAGCTTTCCTAAAATGGGGCTGCCCATTTTAATCATCCAAGTCATTAGACCATTTTAAAACATGTGGGATCCTGCTGAGAACCCCTAAATAGAAATTAATGTGGTTAAAACACTGTCACAAACCACCCATGACTGGGAACGGTTCAAAAATCTCCCACCTATTAAAAATGGTGAGTCATTGGGTTATTGGGTTTTTTTTCAATGGGTTTACCAACAGATCATCCACCAGCACCAAAATTTTCGAACCTCCCAACTGGCGGTGCTCTCATCTTTCTCATAGGCACGAACCCCTCGATCCTGGCGCGTGCAGCGATGTTCACCCGCATCCGAAACGTCCAGAGGTTCAGCGGTCCACTTTCTATTCTGTGTATAAATATATATATATATATATACATATGTATATATATATATATATGTATGTCTATAATAATAATATATATATATATATATTATTATTATAGACATACATACATATATATATATACATATGTATATATATATATGTATAGATATATGTATATATACTAATATAAAATATATATATATACACACACCCACACATACATTCCCCCCAGAGATTTGAGATTTGACCAGTTCCATGGATAGATACCAATCTTTTTTGATTCGGATGCAGGTGCAGGTGATGCAGTTACTTCTGGGGTTGCTAGGGGTTACCCCAAAAAATACCCGTGGAGATGGATGGATTTGGAGCGGAGGGAGCCCCTGTATTACCAGAGACCTTGAGGGGTGCTGCGGATGACCCCCATGGAGGGGTCGCCATCAAACAAGATGGAAATTCCCGCCGATGGAGTTCGGCCATGGCCACGAACGACGGCTCAGTATTTTTCCAATCATGAACAGCCTTGCTTATATATGTATACATATATATGTATAAATATATATATATATACATATATACCCATTCTTAAAACCCATTCTTGAAACCCTTTGGGAAGACATGTCTCCAATTCGCTAGGCTTCACAAGTTCACACGGCTCATATCTGCCCATGGGCATCACAATCCCGTCCCAGGTCCCAGGTCCCAAAGTTTATCCGTTGCCCGATTTTGGGCTGAACATGGCTGAAGCACTCATTTTTGTGACCAAAATCCAGTTGGATCATCTCATTGCGAAGAAAATACCAAAAAAAGACAGATGAAATAGATCCCCAGTGCAAAAGATCGATAGACCCAGCTTAGCCAATAGCGACAGCGGGGCACACCTTCTCAGGTCCAGTGAGGTCCGGGCTGGGGTCCGTCACCACTTGCTGATCCTGGTTGAATGCTACACATGTCAATCCATATCCATTACCCTCTGGGAAACATACAAGAAACTATGGAAAATCACCATTTTTATCCATTTTTAATGAGTAAATCAACTACATTCTGATTGGTGGTTTCAACCTACCCCTCTGAAAAATGATGGAGTGAAAGTCAGTTGGGAGTATGACATTCCCATATATTATGGAAAATAAAAAATGTTTGAAACCACCAACCAGCATTAAAACCATGCAATTATACGAGGTATAATGGTAATTATTCATAAAGAGGGAGAAAATGATGTGGGTCAATCCTGGAAGAACGATACAATATGAGATTGTTTTGCTGGGATATAGATTACCTAGAATCTGATATTTCCCTGTGACTGAAACCATCAAATTTGGGGGTTTATCCCCGTTGGCTATAACTGGGATGAACCACCAAGCACAAGGGGAATATTTTTTGTACGTGCCATGGTCAGGTGCCAATCCCAAAATGATGTGATGTTCATTCTATGGCAGCGTTAAGAGGAAAAATGATGGTCAACTTAGGTGGGAATGCTTTGTTATGGTCATGTCTATTTCAAATGCACTTGGTATTATATATATATATAAATAAATATACAGACATACAGAGAGAAAAGATGTATATATATATACATTTATATATATATGAGAATGTTGATATTGATATTGACGTGTATATCATATCTATACATATATATATATATATGTGTGTGTTTATTATTAATTAATTACATACACACATAAGGCACCGGTGGCACCGGCGGCAGCGGTCCTCTTGACCTTCCCATGCCTGCCGTGGTGGTGCCGTTGCTGGTGACGACTGGATGATTTGGGGCTACCCCCATGGAAACCTCCTCGGCTCCCAAAAGGGAGCCCTAAAGCCTATAGGTTGCGAGTTTGCCCATGAAAAATGGCATTAAAAATTGGGCAATCTATGTTACATTTTGAGACACACTCCAAAGAAACTTCGCATTCAACGCTTTTGTTGCTCATAGGGCTTGCGAAGGAGAACATCTACTCTTCACCCATGGAAGGTGGAGAGAAACAACAGTTCCCGCAGTTTTTCTCCCTTCACCCCTCTTTACCCTCCAGTAATATAAGAATCTAAGCTATCAGATTTCATGACCAGAGGCTTTATCTATAAGCTTTTGCCCGTGAGATTCGCTTTTTTCCATCAATTTGTTTAAGTAAAAATTGACAGAAAATGTACAGAAAACACGGCAAACCCATGTGATTTTAAACATTTTGGCTCATAGAATCCATGATTTCCTGTCGAATTCCATGACAAAACCATGATTTTGGCACCTCAACGAACATCTTGGCCAGGAAATCTAAGGCCAAGGGTTCAACATTGCTGAACTCGTTCAAGGGCCTCAGCTTTTTTTTGCCAGATTTGTTTTGGAATTTCACAGGGAGGGAAAGAAAACCAGGGAAGTTAGACTTTAAACATGTATGATGCATACTATGTTTTTGCACAAAAAAAAGGACGGCGAAAAATCAGGGTCTCGCCAAATTGAGATGATGAAGCCCATTCTTCACAGGAAGTTTGGCTGCAAAAAATATACCAGGAAGTAACCAGCAAGTTGGGATTTGACCAAGAAAAAGGATCATTGACCTGGGAAAAATAGCAGGCTTTCACAGAAAAAATTGCACTTGAGCCGGCAAAAATTGGTGAAGCCTCCAATTGATCAAGGTTCTCAATATATTTCCTCCGGCAACATTAGTCGCCTTTGGTAGTAGATCGAATACCTTACTGCAATTTACCATGGAGCCACAAATTGTTGGAGAAAGCCATTTCTGGTGGTTTCGAAACGCGTATCCCAAAAACAACGGTTGAATATTTTGGATGACTATCTTCTTACCGCTGGTCCACTCTGATGTTCTCTCATGTTCTCTCTACCTCGCAAATGCATGAAAGAAGAGACCTTCCCAGGGGACCTGAAAAATCCTTAGGTTTGCAGGTGAAGTTACCCGCTGGTAATTTAACATAGCTATGGAAAACCACCATTTTTAGTGGGAAAACTCACTATTTCAATGGCCATTTTCAATAGCTTTTTGTATGTTTACCGGAGGGTAGATGAAAACCTCGAAAAACTGGATCCTTTCCGAAACAACAGAAACGCTTGAGAAATCATCTCGGTCAGCATCTCGGTGTCCCAACTCCACGCTTAAGAGGCCACAACAGGTGGGAGCCCGTTGGCACTGAATCTCCAAGTGTTCCTTGGGCCATTGGGGAGGCTTTCTAAAAATCATTGGCACCATTGGGTCATCCCAAGAAACACATTTCCAAGTTCCATATATATATATATATTATATATTATATATTATATTATATATTATATATTATATATTATATATTATATATTATATATTATATATTATATATTATATATTATATATTATATATTATATATAATATATATATGTCATATGTGCCATTTCTGTTGAATATATCCGGTGGGCATGGTGTATCCCTTTTCGTAAGAAAGGTTTATAAAAAAAAAAAAAAGTGTATTGTTGAGAGAGTTGGAATATCCAATGAACGCTCATAATAAACACCCCATATTGATGGTCCCAAATATGTGTAAATCCCCCTATTGAACCATGGTTTACGGGGGGGGTGTTTGACATGAACAGGGGATGGGATTATGTTGAAACAACATGAAACAACTGCTGTAATGTGGATATAGTTTATATATGTGTATATAATCAACATTTCCACAATGGCACAATGGGATTATATGGCTATATTATGGATTATTCAATGGATTATGGCTGGCTAATGTTTTATATAATCATATTCAATGCCATTCGCCAGACCCGATTACCAAAAATAGATTTTCGCACCCAATGGATCCCAGCTGACTGGGATGATCTGACATGACGTCTGTTCCCTGGATCATTCAAGGCTCCCGGCTTATGTTTGGAAAAAAACTATGAATGTCAATGATATAATCAGGGAAACTGACTGTCCTTGAGTCAAATCTATTTTGAGCCATAGCGAAATTTTGGTAATGAAGATTGGTCATATGTTTAGGTCACTACCCTTTTTGGGGGTTGAATCAATAACCAACATATTCTGGTGGCTGTCATATCCATACCTCCATTGTTGCTGGTTAAACACCCATTTTATTTCTGTCGCTTGATATCCAAATAATCCCTTGCCCTAGGCCCTATTTATAAACAACCTCCCAGGACCTCTGTATTCAACCTCTTTGGAGCCCCATTGGGCGGTTGAAAAAAATCCAAAACCAGGGACTTCTCAGAAGATCAGCTAAGAGGACTTATCCCACCGACAAGTAACTGTTCAATACTTATGGCCAAGGGTTATCCGGCTGATGAGTCAAAACATGTCAGATATGTCAGAACAATAGTGTAATTTTCATTCTTCACCGGCTACTCATATTTTTTGTCATCAGGGTCATCGTGCAGATTTCGGCTTTTTTTTTTGCCAAAAATTTCACGGCGAAATCAGGTCCTAAATCAGGTCCCATGATGCCAAGGTACGCTGGACATCGACATGTTCATGGCATACTTTGCTGCCTGGTGGGATCATCCCAAGGTGGATCACTGGCGACCAGGTCTGTTTTCAGTTACATGTTTTTCCGATGGTTTTTACCATAGAGCTGTGGATCATTATTGCTGCTTGGTGGTTTTAACATGTTCAAAAACCATCTTGAAAAATGATGGAGTTCGTCAATGGGTTTGGGATTGCCCCATATATGAAATGGAAAATAAAATTCATGTTCCAAACCACCAACCAGTGGCTTATTGTCATGTTCTCATTTTCTCAGTGCGCTCTTGATGGCAGGGTATACCTCAGCGACACAGCCATGAACCAAAGATGTGCCGTGTAAGAATGGGCTTCTTGGATGTGCGGGAACCATGCATCGTAAGTGCTTCGTAACCCTTATGCAATCCATATATAACTGGGGATATTCCAACTGGGCTATAATCTGGAGCCACTTCTGATTCCTGGTCCCCACACCCCCAAGCGGTCACATCCCCACATTCTGTCGATTTTCTGGTTCGGATCATCCATTTTGGGACATTGCCCTGAAAATAGGTGTTGTGCAATTCCAAGTTGCTGATGGTCTGGGTGATGTCCCCATGTTTTTCTGGCTAAAAATTTTCATTGTTGCGGTTCAGCATACCCCAATGAGCATCATACTGTATGAGACTTTTAGACCGTCGACCACCATTCCAAGCGACATTTGAATCCCCCAAAAATTGGAACATCTGCACTCTTCAGGCGAGAAAGATGTGGCCCCTTCCCATTCCTCCCAACACCCAAGAAATGGCACCACGAAAGAGAAGAGCAGCGTACCAATATCGCCGATGACCTGCCATGGACCAATGATGACCAATGGTACCAGCACCAAAAACCATGGGGGGCTAAGAAAACCCATAGGAGTTGATGCTTCATAACCGCCTCTACCTCTGGCATCTCTGGGAACAGTAATCCTCCAAGCACCAGAAATTGCCTCGATGATCGTGGTGAAAACATCGTACCTCGCCAAAGTGCCATCCGAATGTTTTCCCAAGATTCAGAAATAGGAATTAGATGTTGCCATTAGATTTGTGCATTTATCATACATACATATGTATATATATATATTGCAAAAAAAAATATGGATATAGATATAAATGTAGATATAGATATAGATATAGAATGATATAGATATAGATGTTGAACGTTTATGCTTATGTTACTCTATATATATATATATTGTTCCCTTGTACTAGTAGCATATTCTACACATTTTCTGGTGTGCATTCGGCCCTCTCTTAAAAGGGTCACCAGCCATCGCCAAAGAGATCCTTCACAGACATCAAACCTTGGCCGAACATGAAGTCTGGGAAAATCCAGGAATTTCATAGGGGAATTTCATGGGGAATTTCATGGGAAAATATGGTTTATAAAAACCAACCATCTTGAGGAAATTTCAAGTGGATTGTCAGAAAATATGACAACCAGTAACAATTAGAAATTCTGACTGGATTGATTTCAGGGAAAAGCTTAACCGTGACCCAAAATCTTACGCATGTATATATATATATATATATATTAATATATATTATATACATATGCATATCTAGGGGGTCTATCACTTACTGTAAATTTCAACATAGAGAAGGGTTGTTGACCAGGGTCAACCTTGGGCCTGATTCAGCCTCCAGTTGGGGGCATCATTGGCGAGTACATGGGGTTACCTTGAACTGGCTTATTTAGTTCTGTGGCATATTCATCGCTTGTATGGCAGAATAAATGAGTACAACTAGCATTGCTTAATCATATATAAAGGAATCCCAAAATTTGTGTATATATATATATATATGATATATATGTATATCAGAAATTAAAAAACAAACTTATCGGCGGACATTGCTCAAAACTAGATACGTACCTGGTACATGATTGGTATATGGAAATCATACTATATAATAATTAGGTACCTGGTATTGGATACCCTCATGGAGCTATCATGGGCATATCCAGCAACAAAAAAAGCAGGACATCATGGGAAATTGGGGCAGTCTGAATCCACAAACCTAGGCGCAGCCTCCACAGCAACTGCCTTCAGTGTGGCCGTACTGCATGCAGATGCCATTGATTTCAGCATCCGCCACTTGCGTTTCCTGCAGCGGCTAGGCCGGTTTAAAACTTCAGTGAGATCTTCATCATCATTTTTTGGATGTCTTCGACCCCTATCAAGTACTAAAACCATTTCAAACCGGCCTTTACCAGTTGGTTTATTCGCAGTGAAAGTTCGCTGACCCAGATTCCCCTTTTTCTCCGGATCGAATCCCCCATCTTTCTTGCAGAATCAATATTCCATCATCTTTTGGGTGATTTTATTCCCATTTTCTCTTGAAACATCGGTTCTCTAAATGTGCTTCATCTCGCCATTTTTTCTTTTTTCCTTGGGGGTGCAGTTATAACAGTGATAACTTCATATACAACCATAGCTCCCATAGCTCCCATAGCTATAGCTCTTTTTTCCCAATTCAAGGGGAGGCCACTGCTGGCAACATCGAGTTGCGTTGGTGCCGGTGGTCTGGTAGAACTGCACCGCGGTGCAAAACTTGGGGCTGTACTTGATCTCGTTGGCCCAGGCAGTACCTGACCCACGGCCAAAAACTACCCCTTGTGGCCACCTTTTTTAAGGTGCATGAAATGCAGGGAGAGAAAAAGGGGTCAAGTATAGATGGAATGGGAATATCATGGAATATGATATAATGATATAATTTAATGTTGATAAAATCACAGATACGGGGATGGATCAAACCTATGTTGCCATTTTGGGGGGGATAAATATCTTTTTACCAGCTACTATTGTTCACCAGGGTAAGAGCGTTTTGACCCATACCACAGTAATAAATCAATGGCTCAACTCCATATGCTGATCATCTCTGACAAAAACGTTTGCTTGGCCAAACTGAAAACATATATATAATATCATAGTATCATAGATTAGAAGTATTTGAAGAGTCCTAAAGTTTGCCTGGCACCAATTCCGGTTTCTGCTTATGTCCAATGTCGATAGACAACTTCTAGATGCGCAGTGCGGCGGGTTGGAAAGATTCTTCTCAGATAGTCTCAGGTATGCCCCTTCTGTTCACACCAAAATAGCTGGTGGATGGATGATCCTCTCCCCAAGATGATCTTTATAGATAGGTATTAATCATTATTAATTAATCCATAGCCATTTCAGCACCATTTCAGCAAATCTGATCCACTGGGGCGAGTCTGGAAACGGTGCCATCGTGCCATGACCTGGTCATGGCAGTCTAGGATTCCGCACAGCTTGACACTGTGCAGTAGTCTTTCCTGTCGACGGATTTCGGCCGAATAGAGACACCTATGGGACCTATAAATTGCATCGTGTTTTCCGGCATAAATTGAAAGCAAAGCTAAATATATGTGGCAAAAACATCAGGTTGTAGGAAAGTGACCAGATGTACTCACTTCCAAAACATGAAGCCAAACAATCCATGACAGTTCCACTGCATACATACAGCATGAGAAAGTTCTACTCTTCCTCCCGATCTGTACAACAGCTCCAAAATAGATCGAAACGTAACCTGAAAGCCTGAAAAATAATGAGTTTTCCAAGTGGGTAGGTGTTTCATTTTTTTTCGTACCCCTTTTCATCATGGTTTTTCAAACGAAAAATCCATGATTGATCCAAAAAAAATGTTGGATTCGTTCCATTCAAACTGACATATATCTTGACAAATTATGTCCTCTGGTAAATTACAATAGCTATCTGTCTATAGCTATGGAAATTCACCATTTTGATAAGTAATTGAGCTATAAATGGACCATGTTCAATAGCTATGTGAAATTAGCAACCTGAAAAGTTCGGCCAATTTGGAGAGGGCCACGATGTTTTCTCATGCTACACAGCTATCCCCAACAAATAACCAACAGATAATTGGGAATATCCCCGTATAGGCCTATAAATAGCCAAATAATATGATTGGTAACAAACCATACTGGTTGGTGGTATACCTACCCCTCTGAAAAATATGAGTTCGTCAGCTGGGGTTATTATTCCCAACTGAATGGAACAATCATCCAAATGTCCCAAACATTTCCAAACCACCCACCAGAATATAATATCCGCCGACCCCGGCAGACGCAAGGGGGAGCGCGCCCGGGAATAAGACATTCGACCCTTTAGGGTAGAAATGCATATAGCCAGTAGCCAGCAGCCAGCGGCAATAGTAGCCATTAGGCAGTTTCGGACTACTACCACTACTATTCTATAGGGTAGAACAGCACATAGCTAGTAGCCAGCAGCCAGCAGCAATAGTAGCCAGTAGGCAGCAGTCGGCAGCCAGCAGCCAGCGGCAGTAAGACGGCACGACGCCAGTAGCCAGTAGCCAGCAGCCAGCGGCAATAGTAGCCAGTAGGCAGCAGTTGGCAGCCAGCAGCCAGCGGCAGCAAGACGGCACGACGCCAGTAGCAGGCAGCCAGCAGACAGCAGGTATAGAAGCCAGCAATTCAGAAGGAGAGATAGAGGCAGCAGCCAGCTAGCAGCAGGCAGCAACTTCTAAAAGGGCGAAAAAATGAAAAACATAATATTTTTGTACGATTTCAAAAGGGGCGTTCCGGCTCCGGGCAGCAGTAGCAGCGGCAAAGTTTCAATTTTAGAGTAGAGTTTCAGAAGTGACGTTAGGCCCTTTTTTGGGGTTCCTTTGCTATGTTTTGGGCACGAAATTAGGTGGTGGTTTGCTGTTTCGGATGTGTTTCGAAAAGGATGTCTGGCTGTTTGTTTCTTGCTTTGGGGGCTGTTTGATTGCAGCAGCACGACAGCAGCACCACACCAGCAGCAGCAGCCACCAGCAGCAGCACCAGCAGCAGGCAGCAGTAGGGAGCAGCAGGCAGCAGCAGGCAGCAGGCAGCCGCAGGCAGCAGCAGGCAGCAGCAGGCAGCAGCAGACACCAGCAGAGGCAGTTCCCCGGCGATCTGCAACAGCTTCGCCACCGTCACCCGTTGGGGTTCACCAAGCCCACAGGCGACTCCTGGCCGCCAACCATAGAACAAACAATAACCATCACTCAGCTGCACCTCATTAACTCAGACAATTAGCAATCATCAACCACAACACGCGACTCCCGACCAGACACTATATATTCCCTTATCTTGGTAAACTTCTGCTGTCCAATCGAGTGCGCCGTAATCGATTTCTTCTTCCTTCCTGGTTACCAAACAAGTACTTCGCACCCTACCATCCCGACTCCTCTCATGACCAACACTGCCGTTTTCATAACACAATTCCGCTCTACTGCTGCGCACCAGACACATAAAACACACAGGCTCAATCCTTGAATTGACTCCAAATCCAAAGCGACTTTTTCCCGCGCCGCGCTGCAGCTCCACATTGAAGGCATTCTGAGGTCTAAAGCCCTGACACCTCGAGACAAAGTCTCCCACAATTTTTTTTCAAGACATCTCACAACAGGGGACACTGAGTTGACTCCGTACTGTGAACTCCGCCAATCGGCTTTACACTCCTGCTATTAAGCATCTCAGCAGGAATTGGCAAGATCACTCACATATCACTCCGCCATCGGACTACTTCCTCCATTCTGCACACTGCTAATCTCCTGTCCAATTGCGGCCCACATGCACGATCTTGGCGATTCTCCGATCTGGCACCGCCCCCATGCGCATCACATAGCACTCCGAGTAGCACCACCAACGTCCTTCAGGCTCCTCAGCTGGGTCGCTTGATTCCAAACCTTCCAGCGACTGGCTATGCCACAATATCACCTCGGCATGCTCTGCAATATCGTCGTCCTGAGCCGCCTGCCCATGAAGTACTAACGGCAGCGCGTTGCCGCTGCCATCCACAATCTTCCCACGGCGCATTCCATGTCCGGCCATTGAATGCTGCAAAGGCCCCAGCTCCATGATCACGCCGCGCAAAATAGCACAATGGCTTGCATGAGAGAGATTCTCGAAGCAACTCACGACCAAGCCGGGCTCTGGAGAGATGCCGATGGACTTTGCAGGCCCCAACCTCAAGGAAGACATCCGAGAATTTTGAAGCCTGACCACTGGCTTGTTCTCTGGGTTGTTCCCCACCACTGTCACCTCGAACTTCTCCAAGACGATGGACGGAAGACCCCTGAAGCTTCTGAGAATTCCTTCTGGATCAGATGTCCATACTTCTCCATCGAGGGGCTCCACAGGCTCACGGGAACCAATCCTGAAGCGCTCGCAGCATGGAAAGCCAGCACTCTCTTCTTCGCATCGATAGGCTTCGGTTCACCCACGTCCACAATCACGGCTTCCACCGTAATCATGCTGCCCTTGTTCAGAGAATATACCTGCGCGAGTTCCGGCACTCGCAGTTCCTCCCGCACAACGTGCATTGGCGCAGCCTGTCTCTGCTTCTTCTTGGGCGAATAAGCAACACCTCCCACCGCTTCTGGGCGGGCTGGCACACCCACGCCTGCAGCCTCTTGAGCAGGAGCCAACGAAAGGCTGCCATCCTCTCCCAGAGGAGAATCTGGGATTTCTTCTACTCCAGCCATGATCCTGCTTGCTTGACCCCCACTGCTGCAACCAGGCACTGGCACAACATGTCATCAGCTTGGAAATCAAAAGCTTTACGAAGAACTCAAAGCATCAGCATCAAATAGCATCTCAGCACTGATGAGATAGCCGCAAGCATGAAGAAGCAAGGCATTCCCACGAAGCACATACACACAATCCATCCCCTGACAAAGGGACAAAGGACCTGATGACTTCGCCGCCCTTGCCAATCAAGCTACCAACAGCTCCCCTTAAATCCTTCAGGGTGCTGGGGTTTTCACGTTTTTCGGGTTCGGGGTGGGAACAAAGATGGTAAAATTCGAAGATGCGTTTTGGAGGTCCTTGTTCCCCACCTGCCAGGTGAGGGTTGTTAGATTTTATCAGAGCTGTTCTCCTCCTCCTCCGCCTCCGCATCCTCCTCCTCCATCTCCTCCGCCTCCTCCTCCTCCTCGCAGTCCAGATCCCAGTGGGCACAGCCGGACCTCCACCGTGACTTCCAGGTTGCAGTGGGCACTGCCGGACCTCAACCGCGACTTCCAGATCGCAGCGGGCACTGCCGGACCTCAACCGCGACTTCCAGATCGCAGTGGGCACTGCCGGACCTCAACCGCGAGCTCCAGATCCCAGTGGGCACTGCCGGACCTCAACGGCCAGATAGAATGCCAGAAGATATGCCAGATAGAATGCCAGAAGATATGTCAGATAGAATGCCAGAAGATATGCCAGATAGAATGAATGCCAGATAGAATGCCAGAAGATGCCAGATATGCAGATAGAATGCCAGAAGATATGCCAGATAGAATGCCAGAAGATTTGCCAGATAGAATGCCAGAAGATATGCCAGATAGAATGCCAGAAGATTTGCCAGATAGAATGCCAGAAGATATGTCAGATAGAATGCCAGAAGATATGTCAGATAGAATGCCAGAAGATTTGCCAGATAGAATGCCAGAAGATATGTCAGATAGAATGCCAGAAGATTTGCCAGTAAGAAAATGTATCAATGCCATGGTGGGGATCATTCGAAGTGAAGTAATTGGGCGGTTTTTGGTCGATTTTTGGTCGATTTTTGGTCAATTTTTCATAATTTTTTGGTACTGTCCACGCGTAAAAATCGTGTAATTTACAGTGTTTTTGTGCCTTTGGTATCCAAAAAAAGCTTCTGACAACATGTTGGAAACTGCGTAAATACCAGTGTTTTTGCAAGGCCCGGGCCACAAAACACTGCAAATACCGTGATTTTTGCTAGCAGAGGCTCAAAACCTCGTAAATACCGTGGTTTTGCGTTGGCGCGGAGCCAAAAACATCGGTATTTACCGTGTTTTTTGTTCCGAGAACGTGAAAAATCGCGAAAACACCGCCTATTTGACGCTTTTGGGGGGTTTGCAAAAACCGTCTATTTGACGATTTTGGGGGGTCTGCAAAAAGTACCAACTACAAAGATAACAACGACAACGACAACAGGACCAAGCACCAACAGCTATATATATAATAACAACAACAACAACCACAACCACAACCACAACCACCACCACCACCACCACCACCACCACGATGACGACGACGACGACGACGGCTCGCAGCATGTCATGTCCGCAAGTTCAGATGAAATCCCCCTCTCTCTTTCCCTCCCCCGACCCCTACAGGCATAGCCGGTGTGCGAAGCTCTACAATAATATACCCAATTTATAATAGCTAACAGACATTAACAGACCAAAAGAAGCCTCCAAAACCTGCATCTGTCAGACACGGCGTCTGTGGCGTCTGGGTTTGCCCCGCCCCTTGACAGGATCCGTGGGTGCTTCCACACAGAACTCGCGCACCTCGGGGGTAGATCCCAGGTGGCGATTTTTTGCACATGGGAATGATCAGAAAAAAAAACCAATGGATCGTCCATTTTCTGATGTCAAAAATCCCCATATTTTCTATATATGGCTGGAATGATATATGGATGATTTTTTGACAATGATCAGAACATCTTGCTGATTTAGCCAACCATCAACGGGGGCTTAACATGGCTTAACCATCAAATAACCACTAAAAGCTGAGGATTTGACCAACAATTTAAGAATTCAAATGCTACCAATTACGTTTCAGTTGACATTGGAAGCCTTCAAAGCTTTAGTTCTGCAGCCATTTCGGAAATTCAAGAGAGATTGTGCGTAAATCACCAAAAAATCATTGAATGTAGATCGAAACATTATATCAGTTGCCTGTACATTGCATGTTTACTCTAGTACTGAAACACTGCGCGCACGCAGACGTGATACGACTCCAGGTTACTTGTATGTGTTAAAATAGATAGGTAGATGGATAGATAGATGTGTGTGCATATATCTATATACATGTATACAGTACATATATATATATCGGTATAGTATCATTAAGAGCTTCGGTTTTGAGTCCATTCCGCAGCAGTTGAACACAAACGTTATTAGGGGGCTTGTGAAACGTGCACAACTCCTATGAAACGTGCACAACTTCTATGGAACGTGCACAACTGCTATGGAACGTGCGCAACTCCTATGAAAAGTGCGCAACTTCTATGATTTATATAAGTTCTCAAACACTGCAAAAAGCTCTTAACGATACTATACCCATATATATATATGTATATTATACGTACGTATATATGTCTAGATAAAAGGGGAGAAAAAGAAAACACAACCTCCCGTTCTCCATCCGCGCTGAGCTGAGCCCCCACAGTCGCAATGTGCGAAATCGCCACGACCTGGCCAATGGTTTGATGACACCGGAGGGTCATGTCAACCTCTGGTTATGACTAACAGTTCGCCATGGTATAGATGGCCATAGATGGCCCATGAAAATAGAGGCTTTACCTATTAAATCCTATGAATAGCATGGTGGATCTTTCCATGGCAAACTGTGAATGTCATAACCAGATGGTACTTTTGGTGGCAGACCCCAAAAATTAACCATGTTTTTTCTTGATCTTGGGTTTGACTAAGCAGCAAACCAGCCGGAACCCAAATGGCACTAGGGGTGGTTTTGTGATCCTCTCCGAAGAAAAAAGATGATGAGACATGCGTGTATTGACAAATCTAATTCCTGTGCAGCTCTTGTCACCCCTTTTTTCTTGATCTTGGGTTTGACTAAGCAGCAAACCAGCCGGAACCCAAATGGCAATAGGGGTGGTTTTGTTATCCTCTCCGAAGAAAAAAGATGATGAGACATGCGTGTATTCCCCTCTTTATTCCTCGGGGTATGGATTGTATGCATGGTTGCTCTGGTAAAAACAGTGTCCAGTCTTGCAGTAAACATGCATCTATGTTTTGCATCTATACAAAGAGTCTTAACTAACTACTATGCACTAATGTGGTAAACGAAATGCCATACATAAACCATCCCCAAGTCGTCACCATTTTGATAGGTTCTATCCATCCCCAGTCATGGCAGTTGACCGGTCGCCCGGTCGGACCGAAATTCAACCGCCCAGGATTCACAGCTCAAAACGGACCTTTCAAAGAACCCAAAAAAAAACAACTGAAAGTTGACCAATGAAGCTCCAAAAATCTCCCTACCCCCTTTTTCCTGGTCAAAGCCCCATTTTAGATGAGGAAAAAATGCTATTTTTTGATTGCTAGTGATCTATCTCTCATATCCTCACTATATCCCAGTTGCATCCCCCCATATGTCTCACCATATCACAAAAAAAACTATCTATATATATATATATACACTGTATATATATATATATCCCATTTTATTTTATCCCTACTATATCCTCATTATATATATATATATATAGGATATATATATATATGTATAGTGTATATATATATATATCCTATATATAAATCCTATTCTATCCCCAGCATTGCTCCCGCCCCATCCGCCAAGCGACACGATCCCACCAGGTGCACGCGGCATCGAGGCCCGTGACCACGAAGAGGACGATGGTCAGGGCCCAAACGAACCTCGGTTTCCACGGCTCGGTCCATTTTTAGGGATATACCATCTGGTTATTTAACATAGCCATGGAAAATGGCCCATAGAAATAGATGGTTTACCTGGGTTTACCTATTAAAAATGGGTGGATTTTCCATGGCAAACTGTTAGTCATAACCAGATGGTAAATATTCTGAATAACGGGAACGGCTGGGTTTTTGTCGGGGGGAAATGGCTAAGTTCCGTGCCACACTGGACGAAATCACAGTTCGAATGGCTAAGTTGTTGGTTTCCGGGGATATGAACAATTTTGGGGGTACCATGGGGTACCAAAAAAAACAAAAGGTTGGTGGTGCAAAAACCATCTTGAAAAATATATGAAAGTCGATGGGAAGGAGTATCCCAACAAATTATGGAAAATAAAACATGTTTGAAACCACCAACCATATAAGAAAGTATGGCATGATCACGATTTGGAGGGTACCCCAACCTAAGAAACTGGGGTTGACATTAGCTAAGTTGCTTTGGAAGTCCGTTTATTCCGTTTACTGTTGGATAAAATGGTACGATCTAGAGTTCATAGGGGGTTTTCAAGCAACAAACAAAACTCGGGGGTACCACTTTGTAGGGGTTTTAACATGTTTTAACCATCAACCTCGTGGAAATGGCCTCAAAAATCCCAGGGGCTTCCATCATGAGCCAAGTGTTTTGGTGCCGCCCCCAAGCTCCAAGGGATCCAAGGGACGTAGGAGAGAAGGTGGTGGATTGCGCCTCTTGGTTCTTCTGCGTCTTGGATTGGTTTCCACCGCCTGCCGAGTTTTTTTTTCGAAAACAGACCCTGGGGTCTGCCGAAGCCACCGAACTGTGAACCTCCTAGGCTTGTTGAAAGGGTCTTTATGCACCTTGAAACTGTCATAAGAATCGAATATTGTAAGGCATGTCCGGATCGACCCATCCCCTCCAAATCTTACTTAAAATCAGATTTAAAAAACTATCCATGGCATTTTCAGAGTTTCGGGAAGTTTGTCGGGGTCCCCAAGGGGGGCTTCCCTTGCCATCACCAAGGCACTGCCGTGTGCCGCAGCACCGGTACCACAAAGGTCAGCAGGAGGAACAGGGCCTGGCAGATGGAAATGGTTCATGGTGAAAAAATATCAATCTGGGTAAATTGTAATATTTCACTAACCTGAAATAAGGCCATTTTGGGGATCATTTCCCTTATTAACCATAGTTCCAGTGAGGTCGCAGTGAGGTCGTTATAATTTACCCAGATCAATGGATCGGCTTAAAGGAAAATCTTAACCGGAAGCCATGGATTTTCCTATGAAATATATGGAAGTTCCCTGTAAATGTTCCCGAAAAAAAACAATCCATTGAAAATATGTTCAAAGGAATTCCTGATTTATAAGATGAAACGTTCAGAATTTGGGATGTTGTACATCCATGTCATGAAAAATCATGCGATTCGCGATTCTCTGAATGCCTGAATCAGGAAACTCATTGCACATACAAAAAAATGAACCCTATGGCTAATGGTTGGTGCTAATCATCATCATCATCATCATCATCATCATCACCTGGTTGGTGCTTGCAAGTTAGATGTTTGCAATGGGACTTGATGGTTCAGATAATCATTGGATTGGCTAATGGTGGAAAATCGACTGAAAAAGATGCGCTTCCACTTTCGATGTTCGGAGGCTCAAACACCTCTGACGTGATTCATATCTGAGGAGGAACGAGTCATATTGGCTTTGCCATGTTAGTATCAATAGCACGATTTACGAACATGTATCTCAAGTGGTCATTCATACCCCTTCCATCGGAATATGTAAAAAAGCATAAGTAAAAAAGCTATCGGAACATTCATGTTTTTTTGCAGGGAGAAAACATGTTAGAATATGTTAGAATGTTCCATGTTAGTGTGGTAAATCTCAACCATTTGGGGGAAGCGGTGTCCAAGTCCCGACAAAACTCTGGCGTTGAAACCCAAGTCTGTGAGCTCTCGGACGTGATTTTTTCTGGTCAACGAAGAGTTTTTGCTAACTGTAAAAATCACCATTTTCATGGGTAAATGAGAAGTATTTTATAACTGTTGATAACTATTGATAACTATTATTCACATGAAACTGGAAAAATAACTAACTAAATTGCCATTTTCAATAATGTTCCACTACCAGAGGGTATCCTTGCCTGCGGAGCATCCCACAGAGAGCCCCAGCGAGTCCAATGCTGCCTGCGACGATCGAAGAATCAAGGGCGACTGAACAGAAAAAGAATGGGATGGGTGACAAAGTACCAATTTTCCACATCATTGAGTTGTTTTTGATAGTTGATTAATGACTTTATATCATAAAAAAAATGTGGAACAAAATACTAGTCTGCACGGGAGACAAGAAGTGGAACAAGCAATACAATGTGGCTCCGGATATGGTTGAATGCGGCACTCATACGTACAACTTCGAAACTAGTCCACGTACACTCATGACTTGAACGCATGGCGCACCCTGGCTGTCAAAATCCAACCAATGTCGAAGTATCACTTGTGACCCTTGTGAAGGTAGTCTTGAACCAGGTAAGGTTGATAGAAATTTGTGTGGTCAATATGTAAATGGAACGAAGTTTCGTCTCCAATCATCTCCGATAACAGGAAAATTGAGTGCTGGGATGAAGTCTGGGAATAGTAAATGAGCTTTGTACATATCTTTGTTGAATGTAATAACATAGATATATTTATTGCTATATATATGTCTGTCTTTCTAAATCCAAATACCTATCCATCCCGGCCATAATATACATCTATATATATATACCACTGCTTTATCTAAGGTTCCACTTCTAAGCCTACCACATCATGATCTCCCACACAGATAGTGCACCTGTCCGGGATATTTCCCGAAGTACAGGCGCATCTTCAGAATTCGCGCCACGCTGCTTCCGCTGATACTGTACCTGCGATACTAGGGTTTGGTAGTTGTCCTAATTGAACATCACCCAACTATTGGGGATAAGATCTCCAACTGATACTTGAAAGTGATGTTCAAAATCCCCAAAGCGAGAAAACTGAGACCTTTACCAAGCCATGGAAAACTCCACACCACCAGCATTGCCGGCACGGAATTCCGTGAAAATGGATAAGAAGGAATGCATCCCAAATCATTTCTTGATCAATTTCGATCTTATATATATGGGTAAATTATGATATTTCACTAACCTGAATCTTGCGGCCCATTTGGGGATGATTTCCCTTATTAACTATGATTCCAGTGAGGGAGAACAGTGAGGTCGTTATAATTTACCCAGACATATGGGTATGGGTCAAAATTCGGTACCCCAACAATTGGATGGTTAATACTAAACTAGACTAACATCTGTGGTCCCCTAGGTCTTCCATTTTGACCCACATCCATATCATAATATATCAGATATATCACAGTCATTGTTGGGTTATCACCATGGTTCTCCCAGAGTCACCATCGTTCATGAACTGAGCTGCAAGAGCCTAGCGGCCTAGGAACTTGCCGATGCGCGGGGGATGAATTACTTAAGTGGAAAAAGTTGATCTTTGCCATTGCATCCATTGCCGAATGACGTTACACGAGCCTTAGCATAGCCCAGAAAATGATTGATTCTATCGGATCTATCACAACGTCTCTTCCAAGCTTTTGGAAACAAAACAAATCCACCAAGTTTGATTGAACAAAATATTCTTATTGTGGGAAGCCCGTGCCCTGTAACAGTGAGCACAAAAAAAGCACCAGAAAAACCACGAGAAAAAGTGAAAAAATGGAGGTTTTTTTTCCAAAAGTGCTGGCTTCAAACAGCCATCTGTTTTGGAGCTGCCCTTTTTAGCGCGCTGCATGAAGTGACATAATCATACTGGAATTTCGTGTTTTCACAGGTTGTTCTGAATTTAGTGTTTCCACAGGTGATTTGAAGAAAAGAAAAAACTTTGCTGTCTTAGTTGTCAGGTCCTTACTTTTACTTTTAGAAGTTGCAAAAGATAGTTTTGAAAAAACGGGATTTGCTTGTGCTCCCCCTGGGGTGGTAGTTAGAATTAAAAACCATTTTTCCACTGTTACAGGGGCTAGGCTTCCCACAAATATTATATAAGTTTATTGCATATCTTGTAAAAGAAAAGCACATGCTTTTCTACCCACCCAGACTTTAGGGTACCACAACCACTGTTTTGAAAACAAATTAAATATATACACCACCAGAATTTCTCAACCAAACATCATCTACCCTCTGGTAATTTAACATAGCTATTGAAAATGGCCATAGAAATAGTGAGTTTTCCCATTAAAAATGGTGATTTTCCATAGCAAACTGTTAGTTTACCAGAGGGTATCAATCATATCATCCCCCGGTCGCCCCAAAAAAAAGTCGCCCCGGCGGTCACTGGATGGAGGACACAGTTTCAGCCTTGAAGCTCTGTCTTGAACGGGTGGCCTAAGCAGAAAACTGGGAGATCTGATGCGGCTGGTGGCTACCTTGAAATGGGATCCAGATTGGTAGGTAGTTTTTCCATTTTACCACCTTAAGTCAGGAAAAAAACATGTTAGTTGATGTCGATGTGTGTTACCCCATTTAGTTGGTTCGTTTGCTCAAATTGCTGCATGTTCCCTGTTTGTGAATGCTTTGTGGAATTTTGATGGTCGTCGAGTCGTTTGTGGTCATCCGATGAACAGCCAGGGAGGTGTCCTAAGTCATGGGTGTACCCCTAAATCGTCCATTTTTTGTTATCAGCTATGGGGGATCCCCACTTTGGAAACCCCCGAAAGGAACTGGAACTGGGCGCCCCTGCGTAGTCCACTGGCCAGTTCCTCATGCTGGGGAAACACTACATCCCGAGGCCATTCTTGATTTCACTTCACACATTCCGACGCTGAACTAAGATCTGAAAAAATCTATGCAGTGTATCTATGGAGTAAAGATGCTTAATTTACAAAAAGTCCCAAAGCTAAGGCTATGACGAGAACCTAGTTCCATGATTGACAGACGGCGGTTTTTTTTCTGGGGCACCAAGCGTGTAGAGCCAGCAGCCCACCGCCGCAATCAGCACAGACTCGGCCGGACAGATGATTTCAAATAGGTCTGCCAGGCAGTTTTTTGTGCTGCTTGGTTCCACATGTTCCTGGAGATTGTCATCCATTCTTCTAGAGTCAACCCCCCCTTCCACCGCATCCCCATCTGCCATCTAAAGCTATCTAAAAACAGCATTTCTTCATAGTTGTTCCGGGCTTTTGCTGGATCCACATCCAATATTCATCTCCCATGGTCGCCCAGGAAACTGGAGCTACTACCCTCCGGTAATTTAACATAGCTATTGAAAATGGCCCATTTATAGTTGATTTACCTATTAAAGCTGGTGATTTTCCATAGCTATGTTAGTTTACCAGAGGGTATACCATTTTAGCCATGGAGATCTCCCCTTAAAAACACCATCTTACAACCTGATATAAATCGTGGTGGAGCCTGGTAGCCAGTCCCAACGGCCAGTCCCTGCAAGCTCCAAGGGACCAGAGCGCTCACCAAGATGGTGGTGCTGCGCATGGCTTTCCGATAGACCTTCACGTCCAGATCGATCTCCTGCACGAGGCCAAAAGTAGGCGTGGCCACAACGGCAGCGAAACCATGGGGAAAATGGGGATTGAAGCAACAAAAAGAAGGATTCTAGGGGATTTATATGCATAAATCTACATGTCTATATATATATAGACATATATATATATTGCAGATGTGTGATAGCTAAGTTGACGCACGGACGCCTTGATGAACTGTTGGGTTGATGGGGTGTAACGAACTGTTGTGGCTTTGTAAACCCACCAACATGGGGGCCCTCACCATGGTATTTCCAGGATGTGGACAGGATTTCCCCATGTTTAGCCTCAAAAATCGAGGGAAAATGTGGGATGACATTTGACCAAAAATCAGTAATTACTAATATAAAACCTACCCAGCCTGGTTATGACTAACAGTTTGCCATGGTATAGATGGCCCATAGAAATAGATGGTTTACCTATTAATAGCATGGTGGATCTTTCCATGGCAAACTGTTAAATAACCAGATGGTAATTAATCGTTTTAGAAGGTATCGCATCAAGGTCCCTCTCAACATTTGGGCTGAGATTCCCTTCAACCTTACACATGTTAGATACCTCCAATTCAAGCAATGGGGTGAACTTAACCAGAAACCATCCCCCATTTCCCGTTTGTTCCCCCATTTGGAGGCTATTCAAAACCACACCAAATACCAAAAAAAACTGGCTTGTCGTGTTTATTTTACCCCACTGTCCCCTCTATTTCGTTGTTTGAATCCACTTTTTGACAGATGAATCCCCATGAAATCCTCGCCTGCTGCAGGATGTTTTTGCCGTTGGGGTCAAAGCCGGTGTCCCCCATCTCAGTGCTGCGTCGATGTTGAAGCAGCAGGAGTTGACCCTTTGAAAACTGAGTTGACCACCCTCCAGTGCCATAAAAAACGTGGCATCCATGAAAATCACCCTATTTTTTATGGGGCTTTTAATGGAAAAAATGCCATGAAACCAAAAATTTTATTGGATTTACCAGCTTGCTATTTTTTGAGTACCAGTCATGTTGGGATATTAACCCAGAGCCTGAAATGAGAAAGCCAGCTACAAAATATGGATTTAGACATGGGATGTCACTCAACTTCACTTTTTCATGACGTGGCCATCTTCAAACATCTGTGCTACCTGGATCTACCTGATACCACAAATCCATCCCCAACTCGTCAGTTGTCCCTTTTTTGATGCGATCCCACCCGTTGGATCCCCAGACCACACTGTCTCCAAAGATCATCACGACAAATGCCGGACCTCGCAGCTCAGCAGATTCAGCAGCTCAGCAGCTCAGCGCAGCTGATCTCGAAGTTTTCACGCAGCTCCCATAGTTTTTTCTCAACTCCGGATAAATTAGAACCATGGTTTATACCATATATTAATTGTGGGGGGTAGCCTCCAAATAGTCACAAGATTATACATGATTAGGGGGATACCAATTACATAATTAAACAGTCCAGGGGTTTATTAATCCAGGGTTGACATTATCCGTAACCAGGAGTTTGGTGGAGAAAAGAAACACCGGGGCCCATCATTTCAGCAATATCCAACACATGCGACGCGTCGGAGTTTTCGGTCCACATCTCCAGAAAAGTGGGCTCGAAACCCCGCCTATTCTTAGAAGAATGGCCCACCCGGACTGTCTAGTGTCTAGATGTGTCTAGATGTGTCCAGATGTGTCTAGATGTGTCTAGTGGGCATAATCAGCCTCTTAAATATATTGCAGTATATCCCATAGAATCCATGGTAACATGGATCCCATCAATATACCCCCTTTATGTTATACCAGCACCATGGATCCTATGGGTATTGCAGTGCTTATACTCCTACTTTCCCATGACAGGTCTTGTCAGTATGTCATGTAATACCACAATTCCCATGGCTGAAATCCAATCTTCGATTCTTCTCCGTTGCTTCGATACAAAAATCATGTCCGCAATCTAAGAATGGATATGAAAAAAATTGCCAGTCTGGCATAAATCAAAACCTGCAAAAAAAACTGGTTTTCACAGCAAAAAAGCTGCTTCTGGACATTCATCCTTCAGATGATCCAAGCCGTTGTTTGGTCCCAAGTCGAGGCCCCACCAGTACCATCATCGGACCATCCCGGTTTTTCGAGGCTGACCTGTGAGCAAAGCCACAAACAGCAACATCAGCCGCAAGAAGGTCAAGAAGGCGGCCTGCAGGGAGGGGACTGGGGAAGATCTCCTGAAAACTGATGCGCATTCCATGTGAGATTTGGTTGTGACAAAGTACCTGAATTTGGGAGAATCAAGTTTGGTCACTGAATTTGGGATCATCCTAAAGACATTGAAACTATGTGCACCAAAATTCCGAGCTTTGTTTGATCCCTCCCGCCTTAAGCTCCAGTCTGGGGGAGGGCCAGGTGAAATTGAGGATGGAGCGTTGTCGGCATTGGGGTTGCCACATACTATCCCCTTACTCACTAGCCAATGAACCTGCCAAACCTAGGCTAATCCAGTGCCAGCTGCTGATGGTGAACATGGCGTCACAAGATTTGGTCAACAAGAAAATGCTCCTTGGCTGAAATACCGACATAGATCATAATAGATCCAATTTGACCATCTGGTCTTTTTGTTCTGGGATGATACATCACAGCTTTTATTTAACATCACTTACTGGTGCTAAACGTAGGGAATGGATGGGTTGCTGGGGGTTGCTGGGATGATTATTGATAGTTACCCAGTGGATCATTCCTGAAAATTCCCTACGTTTAGCACCAGTAAGATCATGTAGAGCCAAAAAATGATCAGCAGCGATGCGCCCGTCCAAGTAACATGGAGGTCGATGCCCATGGCGTTCGGCCGTTCCACCTGCGGAAAACCCAATTGACCCCCTCGAAGTTGGGATGGTCTTCTCCGTGTGTTGAAAACCCAACTTTTGCGAAAAAAATGATCCAGTTGGTTAAAGAATATCTGGTTGGTGGTTGACCTACCCCTCTGAAAAATGATGGAGTGAGTTCGTCAGTTGGGATGATGATTAATTATTCCATATTATTCCCAATATGATGGAAAAATAAAATTCATGTTCCAAACCACCAACCAGTATATCCTATCTTGAAACTCACTGTGGCACCCGGATGGAATCACCTCCAACTTGGCAAACTCATCTGTCAAACCTACTAGCTAGTTGAGGCTGGTCCAGAGTCCACATAAAACCAGTTTGTATAACTCCAGTCCTAAACTGGGCTTTTGGCTTTGCACATCCAAGACTCTCCTTTTAAGCATGGATCAAGTTGAATAAATTAGGAGGAGTACCAATGGAATCATCAAAACATGCTCCTCTGTGGGATCTGAAAACATCCATTCTTGGTGCTCCAATCGTTTTGACTCATAACTCATACCCATCTCAGCATGTAAACTGCTTCCGCGGCGGGGCGCCTTGAGCAGATAAACTCTCCCATTTTCCGTGAGCACCAGGACAGTCTCATCATCCTTGAAGGAGCACGAGAGGAGTCGAAACATCATTGGTTGGTGATATCCCCATGGTTGCCTTGGCGACTTGGGGGAAGGAGAAAACTGTGGAACCAAAATTCCATGGTAAACACGATAAATGTCCTCAATCAGATATTCTTCAAGTGTTGGAGGACTTCTTGGGGCCGAAAAACAAAACACAACTTGAAAATTCACGAGGTATACCCTATATATATATTATATATATATATAATTTGTGCATGTATTTCTATATTTATATATAATCCCAAAGTCCCAATTTCGGATGGTTTCTGAGACCCCATTTCACCGGTCCCCAAGTCGTGGATCCATTTCCAAAAATGTTCCTGGAGCCATTTCCGGGCGCGCCTTTGGGCGGAAGAAGCCGAAGAGACCACAGGTCAGGATCTGGAGCAGAATCACCGTGACCGGATGAAACCTCAACGACTCAAACCCCGTGATGGTCCGTTCATGACATCAATGGGAGATGATTTCAGGATCCTAAAGTGGAGGTACTGTACCAATCTGTACCATAGATATAGGCCTGAAAAATAGGCCTGAAAAATAGGCCTTATATAGGCCTTATATATGGTAGATACCTCCAATTTAGGTACCTAGAATGGCCATTGATGTCATGAAAAGCCCAAGCCGAAGCGTCACTTAAAATGTGGTATGAAACCAACCCATATAGATCATTCTTTGAATTTTTGTGGCATGTGATATAACCAAGGAGTTGCCCAGAAATGTGGTATACCTCATTTTTCCAAGTCATGGATATGGGAAACTGAAATGGAGAATCCAGCAGCTTGTGCACTAAAGTTTAATTATATATATATATATGTATATATGTTTATATTTCTATATATATGTTCTCTATTGTCAACTTGAAATCGCCAGTGGGTCTCAGGATATGAAGTGCTTTCCACAGTCATTCTGTCGCTGTTCAATTTAGTTGCAAAAGATGACCGTATAGACGACCAAGCCAGCACTTCAGGAACACAAAAGCTATGGGTCGAATTTGTCTACAAAATTGGAGGAGCAAAATACTAGAAATTGCCAGTCAATCTGTTTTGTTTCATGAGGCTTCAGCTTCGGCCCCTCCTCAGCTAGTTGACCACCTGTATGGGTCCCCACTTGGCTGTTTTGACCACAATCGCATTCTTCAGCTGGTTCGGAGGGATCTGACAGCGCAGCTTGGAAACAATTAATGTCACCGGATTTTTTGAACCGTGCTTGGCTGGGGATCCCGAATCATGCTACTGACTGCTACTGAAATGGTACCCCCCTAGCTCAGCAGCCCAGGGGTTCATTGATTCTCCTGGACCGAAGCATCATCTACGGGGCTGAATGTTGCACCGGGGACCGATCTTGGGGGATGCATACAACACAGGAACCAATCACGAAAGGATCTCAAATCTTGAAGCCTACATCTCTGACATTGAAGCTCACTTCCTCCCCTTGTGGTTATGTATTGGTTTAATATTCCCGGAGCAGCCCTGTAAACATGTGGCTTTGTCCAAAAAGAAGCAAGACTCCCAAGAGATGGACATTCGTAGGATTAAAAACCCTCGTGTGACACGACTGCCTCAAGAGGCTGAATTGTTGGTGCCTCGTTTCCCATGTGCGCATAGACCCTCTCGAAGATTTTCATCTTCATGGTCTCTTTTGCGCCCTGAAGCATTTGTTGCGGCCATAACGCACATGGGGTCCCTAAATTCAGCTCGGGAAACTCTTTCTGCCAATTTCGGGGAGGGATCATCAGCCAACTCCAAATCCAACAAGATCAGATTGAGACTTGAAACTGATCCTAGCCGGCCTACCCCCATGCTTTTACCCATGTTTCGTGCTTAGAAGCCGCATCTTTCGGCTGTGTTGGTTCACATCACCGCTGAGCTTCCGGGCAATATCTGCCTCCTCCACGTGTTCCAAGGTTTTCTCCATATCTGTGGTGCCCGGCGTTGGTACAACGCGGGGGAAGATATGGGTGAACCATAGGGCCTTAAGCCACCAAGTATGGGGATTGGATAGTTCGTTCGTTTTTTTTTCTAGCTAAGTTGGCTTTCGTTCAGCTTTAGTTCAGTGGGTAAAAAAAAATGGGGGCACAGGTCACATGACCTGACCAAAATCTGATAGAATATATATATTATATATATATATATACACCCTAGGGTACACATACAAACAAAAGTGGAAAACCAATGGTTCCGCTAAGGAAACGATCTACTTAAATGGTGGGTTTTCCACATCTTTCTGTAGGTTTGCAGGAGGGGCCCCATAGCGAGCATGCTTTGTTCATCATCTGGACTAGACATGACCAGCCTACTGAGGGTCCTTTGGTACTGCGTCCAGTTCGGGGGTCGGTTCCAAATAATAAGAGGATGATATATAGCTCTAGTTGCAGGGGCAATTTGGATCCCAAATCAAACAGCCGAGTACTGCTATGCCCCTCATAACCAGTCGTCCTATGGTGTTATCAAAGGGTGTACTAAACATTGGTAACCATGGAATCACCCATTTAGAGTCACAAAGCAAACTGCACTCCCAAGATCCCCCAAGGTGAACCATTTGAATGACCAACTTTTTACTCTAATTGGTGAGACAAGTACCCCAAGAAAACATGATAGAGTTCAGTAACTGTTCATTCTTTCAGGAGTTTAGTAACATGTTTGACCAAAATTCTACATCTAAACTTGGGCAACGCTCTCCCGCTATGGGTCACTATGGGTCCCCGGCTGGTGGCACATGGGGAGCTCATGGCTTCGTTGACCCATTGCTCCTCTGTCAGGACACCCAACCTGTGTCGGCTGTGTTTTTTCGCCCGGTGAAACGGTGAAACCCAGGGCTATTGAGACCCACATACGTATAGTATAGATGTGTGTATATTAATACCCTCTGGTAAACTAACATAACTATGGAAAATCACCATTCTTAATGGGAAAATCCACTATAACTGACCATAGGGTATATGTGGGTATGGGTCAAAATTGGGTACCCCTAAAAATAAATGGTGAATACTAAGCATAGACCCATCCCCATGTAATTAATTGTACAACTCATTGTCAAATGTGGCTTTGTAGCCCAGCCATCATTGTATACCGAGCCTCAAATGTGGGCCCCGTTCAGTCAGCCGATTCAGCCGGTCAGACCCAGGGATGCCGAACTCCCAGTAGCCACCGTGGAATGTTGGGATCTTCCGTAGCCACCCTTCGGTTTTTCTGTCTTAAAATCGCTCAAAAACCATGTCTTTTTCGTAGGATCATGTGGGGATCCACAGGGCATCTCCATGTGTTCTGTACCAGTCCCAAAGGTCCATCCGAAAGCAAGATTTCCATCCAGTTCCAAAGAATCAAGGGGCAATAGGTGCTATGCCTGGCAGACTGATTTCTTCACATCCAACAAACGTTGCCAGAAGCACCTGTCATACGGTCCATCAATGGGAGGTGCTATCAGCCCAATGTTGCAGTAATTTGGTTTTGACCCCCCGTCTCTGGCTTAAAACCCGGTACCCTAGTGAATTCAGAAATCGGTGGGACATGGACATTTCATTTCCAAAAAATATGGAAAAACACAGGTTTTGATCCATCCCAATCTTTATTTTTTCTTCTGACATGCATTTCGCCAAGTTCGATCCACAGGCTCCCCCACTCAGCCAAGTCGATCCTCGGCTTTGCAGAAGTTTTTTTGTTTTGGTGCACTGGATCCTATGTTGGGGGATTGTTGGGGGATAACCTCCTTCATTGGCCAAGTGATGCCAAGTGATGCCAAGTGTATGGGGTAAAATCCAAAAAAAAATGCCCAAATCTAGTGATTTTGTTACATAGCTGGTCCAGGGTACCGGATTCGGGGTTCACACTAGGAGAAATGGAGTGACGGGAGAATTGGCCGTTGGTGCAGGGGGTATCCATAGTCCATCAAACAAACCCACCCACATGTGCTTAGAAAAGGCAAAGTACAGCTCTGCTATCAGATACTGCCGCCGAAATGGAACCTCTGCTTTTATTTGGTACCTATCAATTTGGGAGGAGTAGCTATGGTTGCCCGCTGCTATGGTCAAACTCGCTAGAGTAACCTACATTCCCTGGAAACCTTGTGTTTGTACCGAATCAGTGTAAGGTTCAATGGGTCGATCAAGATCAAAACGAAAAACACACCTGGCTGATTTGTTTCGATTCATCTCCATTCTTGGGGCTTTGAATTTGGAAACCAGCACCCAGACCCCCCCCATCCATCCCCCCCAGGCCCTCAGACCCCATGGTTCTGACGCTGCCACTGGCACTAGCACTGGTCTCTTTGGGACGACCTCGGCCAGTCATCAACGCCAGCTTGGGAGTTTTTAGGAGCTGCAACTAAGCCTCAAGCCAGACCCAGAGAACCAGTCCATAGACCGGAGACTCCTACAGTTGACTCTAGGTTTGGTGGTTTTTTTGGAGTGGAGCTTGCCTCCCTAGAATGGTCTCCATCAAGCTTCCAGACTAGAATAAGGTAACTCTTATATGGATTTTTTCAGGGGGGATTAAGTTGCTCCTTTCAACTCTGCAGGACCTCTTCGGAAATAGTATAAATATTCAACTCACCGAGTCCACAAGCATTTGCATTGCTCACCCATAAAAAGACCTGATGATATCAGGGTTTGGATGCGTTTCTCTGAAAGTCTTGCAAAAAACACCAAAGCCCCATGTATGGTTTCGCATCAGCATTTTCCACATGACGACCGCAATTCTGGCTTCCCATTTCCGGACAAGCTCCTCCAGCGAGCGCGCAGTGAAGGCCCGGGCCAAAGGGCTGCGTTGAGTTGTTGAGTGGTCATCATTTCCCCCTGATCCCTACCTCCCAACATCAAAAATCATAGTTGAGTGTTTGAAAACCAGCTTGAGGCTCGCACATTCCGTCCTTTTGTGGGCACAACTTGCTGCAAATCTGAAACTCTATTCATTTCATATGGGGCCTGTTATGAAGGACCCCAAAACTATCCAAAACCTGTGATTTTTGGAAAGGAATTGATATGGGTGTCCCGCATTTCAAAAAAACCCATGAAAGCCCCCGTATATCTTGTTCCAGCATTTGAATGCACCTGAAAGGCCTTTGGGGCCAGATGTACTGCCACAGGATGATTCCTGACAAGTGGAAAATTGCTGGAAACTACCCGGAACAGGCCATGAGGATCTATGTTTTCTGTCCTGCGACATGCAGACTTTTTTGTCAAGTTCGTTCCTGTTCTGTAAGTTGTCGTTTTGAGCGGTCTACGGTATACCGGTGACACCGGTATCCCCCCATTTTTGCGGCAATGCCATATACTCCCTGTTGCACTCCAGAATGTCAAGCCTGGCCCAGAACGTATCAAAGTCACCAATACTTGGAGGTACAAAAAAGAGGGGTTTCACCTATTTTTCAAACAAGTTCTGATATGTTTTTTGCCTTAGGAACTTGCCATTCCCTTGTCAACGTGCCGTTGGTGCGATAAGTTGCCAAGTTGCCAAACGCAAAAGCCCTCGCCAACGTGGCTGGTGAAGGTTTCCCCCTCTGTCTGCGGCGGCTGATTGAAATGGCAACAAATCATGACTTTCAACTCACACATTAGGTATCTAGGGTGAAGCCACACTCTGCCAAGTCTCAGAATACCAGACCAGATTTTACCTTTTCATATCATGAACTCAAAGAGTTCAAAATTTTTGCAGCCTTTCTTAGTTCCGCTTTCTCGACTGGAACCCATCAAGATATTGGACGAAGGTCCAGCTGAGGATTCGCACCTCCCCTTGGATGAGGCGAAACTTGCTCGGATCAAAAATCAATCGCCAGCTGCAGTACAACCTGGCTGGGCTTCGGAAAATCCAACAAATTTCATGCAGAAAAAGGTTGGCTAGTACCAGTAGAATGGCAGTAACCCACAAAAAAATAGACAAGGTCCTACCAAAATGGTGCCAGTTTACCTTTCAATCTGTTTGGGGGTTACTATTTAAAAAATAACTTCAATCCCTACATTGCAATTAAAGAAAACCCAAATAAACTGCAGCCACAAGCACCACCGAAAGGTTCTAAGAAGACTTGAAGAGTTCCTTGAGTGGAATCTAAAAATGTGAATGGTTGCAATGATGGGCTGGAAATACTAAACTCCCAGATCTTGGTTCTGAACATCCACTGCCCATTGGGATGTGTAGTGCAACCCTCTATAAACTGCCAAAAAAAAACCCATAAACTACACATATGTGTGATCTTGGGTCCGTTGGGATGTCCCAAATGGATCAGTGGATTGGCATCCCAAAAAAAAAAACATTTTTATATCAGCACTCGACATGGAGGAATCAATAGAGACATTCAAAATGGTTGCCTCCTTTCGATTTTTGCATTGGTTAAGCCTTCCACGTCTTGCTTCAAAGCAGCGATTTTTTGTTTCGTTTACGGAAATCTCCTTGTCCCACAAGACTCATTTGTCATATCACATTCAATGGTCATTCAAGAGGATCTGAGTACCCGCAATCAACATTATATACATGGAAAAACTTGTTTCATGGGAACAAACCGTAGCAATAACTAGGTACAATATGGTAAACACAATCCTAAATTTACCATTTGGGATTTATGTTTACCGCCCAGTTGTGGCAATATTTGGGATTGTTTCTCATTTTGTTTCCCACACTAAATGTGGAAATGTCCTTTTGGCACGCCTCACCAAAGGCCAGTTGGGAACTGCCCCCTCAATCTCTCCAAAGACATAGACCTCGTCAGCCGTTTACAGAGCAAAAAAACGAACCAAAAAAAAACACATTTTGATGGTGGGGTAACGAACCAATGGTGCTTTATGGTTTTGATCGGAAAAACGGAAAAAAAAAAATGTTACCAATAGAACGATGGTGGGGTAACATACCAATCTCTCAAAAATGGTAGCACTTCCGATCTCTAAAACACTTAGAGATTTCCCGAAAACGCTACCTGAAAATTTGTCG